TTGGATCTCAGGTTGCAATGACCCTAATGGGAGGGGTGGCCTCTATCAGTTTCTTAGGGGCTAGTGCCACAGGCTAGGAGCCTAAAGGTCTTTTCCTGGGAAAGGTGATTTAATGGGGGATTACAAGTCAGGTCTGGTAGTCCCACCACTTCCCCAGGAAGCTAAGCCCCTTCAGGCCCATCCTCAGGAATTCCTCATCCTCCAGCTCCTCCATGAAGTATAAGGCACAAGTGTCCCCACATTGTTTGCTCATTGAACTGCACCCACTCCACATGAGCAGAATTTTCCTGCACTAGTCACATCTCCCCTTTCCCTGTGCCTAACACACATTGGGCAGATGGCAGGCATTTGTTTCTTGGGGAGAGAAGGGTTTCTTGGGTCAATAATTCCCTTCCAGCTAAGGAAATCTGAGGCTTGAGGAACAGAAATGAAGGAACTTTTTTTTTGGTACCGGGGATCGAACTCGGGTCCTTGCTCTTTCGAGGCAGGCGCCAGAACCACTGAGCTAAATCCCCAGCCCATGAAGGAACTTTTTGCAAGAACAGAAGTTTGGTTACTATCTCTGGGCCATTGGATGGCTCCCAGGCTAAATGCATGCTTTGAATCCCTAGCTGACTCAGTTTCCTCTGGGCAGCCTTCTATTCAGCAGCCTCTTTGCACTTTCAGCTTAGAATACTCCATAGTTTAGCTCCTTGCTCCTCACCCTTCACTTCTTCCCCACCCTTATCAGACTTTCTGCCACTCGGTCAGCTCTGAAGTTCTGGAATCCAAGAAGTTCTGGAATCAACATGAAGGAGAGGGTCTCCACCTCTTTACCCTTCCAAGCACCCTCCAGAGACAGTAACAATAAAGGGAGCACAGAGCCAGGCGTGAAGGTGCACACCTGTAATTTCAGCACCCTGGGAGGCTGAGGCACGAGGATCACAAGTCTGAGCCAAGGCTGGGCAACTTAGCAAGACTGGGGAAAAAAAAAAAAAAAAAAGCACAGATTGCCCAAGTCAGATCTAGGCAAGGAGAACAGGAGGAGGCATGTGATACACACCCTGCCCTTTCCTAAGAAATAGCAGTATGGGCACGTGTGCACACCCACGGGTTATCCCCAGGACTGCAAAGTAAACACAAGTGGACAGGTGATTTGAGCCAAACAGTTTAGATAGTAGAGCACTGCATTCCTAACTCCAGCTGAGGAGAGGCCCTACAAGGAGTAGGGAGTGCCAAGGGACAGCAAGACCCCATACCCTTCCAAAGATCCCCTCTGGTCCAAGGTCATTCAAAGTCAGATTTTTTGGTTTCTGCTGGCAGTGGAGGGACAAGAAGGTGAGAGGAGTCGGGGTGGGGGTGGGGGTGAACACAGGTACTCCCCAACTTCTTGGAGAGATTGAAGCCTCCCAACCCCACAAATCTCAGCTGGGAAGGTCAAGGGGGTCTGATCTTCTTTCCAGTCCTTGGAAGATGGGATCCAGCTGAGATAGGGTACATAGTCAGTGATCAGGCAGGATGGGATTGGGGGTCACTGGCTGGAGGATGGGATCCTGTATTCTTCGGAAGATGGCTGGGAAATTCTTTCCTCCATTACGTAGAACTTTCTTCCCTTCCTCAGTTGAAGTACCTAGATGTCCCACAATTGGGTCTTCACTCTGGGACAAGGAAGGGTCCAGTAAGTCCTTGCCCAACTTTCAGACTGCTCAGATCCTCTAGACTCCCACCCCGTTCTGCCTGGCTCTGACCTTGGTTCAAAGAATACAGAATTACCTTGAAAAGGGCCTGTATCTTTGCCATTTCCTTTGGCCCCTACTTACCAGCTCTTCCAAAGGCACACGCTCAAATAGAGGGTGACCTTCAAAATGGGTGCACATCCAGTGGTGTAGCTCCAGCACATCAGTTATGGTATATACCAGCCCCTACATATGTGAAGAAATCATCCTTGACAGGCGCTACATGCAAGTGAGCAGCCTAAATGGACTTCCAATCAATTCTTAGTGAAGGGTTCCTCAATAGGCCATTTACTCCATTCTCCATCCCACTTTTGACTCACCCCAACTCTCAGCACGTAGGCATATTCTGCTAGTAGTGTGGGACTGATGATTCGCCATTTGTGCTTTGTCCGTTTGAAATGTGGGTCAGGGAAGAGGAAGAACATCTTTGTCAGCTGTGAGACAGACAGGCACCAACAGGGTTGTAAGTGCCTAGCCTCCAAGCCTGCCTGCCTACCAGCCTACCCAACCAGGGCCCTTCCCACCTGGCCCTTGTGGAAGAAGTTAGGAAGGTGCTTCATGGCATTACTACGGAGACAGGCGATGTTCTGGAAGCCACCTCCAGGAGCTGCACGTAGGGCCCGAATCCGGTCTTGTACATAGTCTGACACCTTCACCCGGATCTCCAGGCCCAGGATCAGTGTGTCTGGGAACAGTGGTGACAGTTCCACTGCACACAGAAATAGCAATGGGATCATCAACCTCCTACTTCCAGGGAGAGCAAAGGGGTCAACACAGGAAAGGAGGCCTCAATCCGAAACCACAAAAGTCAGGATTAAGAACAGTGTATAGTTTTCTGCTGAAGAAAATGCAGGGGAGATACGAAAGTTGACAGGACTAGAATGGGAGGGCTGAGACTACATTCATAATTATTTGTAAGTGCTTTAAGTTTTGTTTCCTTTTTTTTTGTACCGGGGATCAAACTTGGGACCTTGCGGTTTTGAGGCAGGCGGTGGAACCACTGAGCTAAATCCCCCGCCCTTGTTGTTTTTTTTGAGACAAGGTCTCACTACGTAATCCTCTTGCTGCAGCCTCCAAAGTGCTGGAATTACAGGCATGTGCCACCATGCCTGGCAGTTTACTTTAGTTTTCACAGTGATTTTGTACATGGTCTTAAATTTAATCCTTATAATCTTGTGTGGTAGACTGTGAAGGTGAGGATACTGAGCTAGAAATGCTCAAGATCATAGATCTAAGAAAGTGAGGTGGGAGTGGTGATGCATGGTCATAATCCCAGCACTCCAGGAGACTGAGGCAGGAGGATTGAAGGTTCAAGCCCAGCCTGGGCAATTTAGCTAGACCCAGTGGATTGCCATGCATGCCTGGGACAATATTTACAAGAGGAACCTGAGAACATAAGAGCAGAGCAGAAAGAATGTGTTCTTGTGAGGGAGGGGAGGTGGTAGAATCCCTGAGAAAGACAGTTCAGGATCACTGGCCACAGTGGCTAATCTCTGACGCTTGTGTCGACTGGCTCACTGACCCAGCACTTGGCAGGTGAAATGGCTCACGTAGGGACTGGGGCCAGACAGGACAACCCAAGTTTTAACAGCCATTTGAGGCAGCCCCCTCCCTTCTCCAGGGCAAAGGCCACAGACCCAGGGTAGAGAAAAGATGGAGGCTGTCCACATTGATGTCACCAGTGTCTGTCCATAGGGTAAAGATCAACTGTGGCCTCTACCAAACCTGCTGAGGTAGCAGAACCTAGGTCTCTCCTTGCTTCAGAGAAAGGGCCAGACCATTACCTAACAAGCCACCATAGCCACAGCCTATGTCTGCAAACTCCACTTGGGCCTGAACTTGTTTTTCCTCCGTATCCTTTAGGTCATCATGGCTTTGACTTTGAGTGAGTGGAGCGAAGAACTCTGGGTATAGCTCAGACCAGTCCATCTCCTCTGGCTTCACAGGACTATTGAAGAAGATATGAAAAGTAAGAAGGTTGGTCATGCCATTGCAGATGTGGTACTGCATGTATGTGGGTGGGCAAGGGTAGGAGGTAGATGAGAGGAGGGTTTCTCAAGAATTCTGTTACAGTGGGCCCTGTGGCCTCAGGAGATGCAGTGGAATCCCTCTAACACTGAGGGTGAATCACAAGCCTGTCATAAGGCTCATGATTGCTGATCTTCCCATCTCTACTTCTGTCCTGGCTGGGCAGCCCTCCTTTTGGGGGCATATGTGGGCCTAAGGGACTGGGATCCGACTTCATATATGTACTCTGTGGGGGAGAGGATGGAGTAAGGAGTGGGAAGGACCGTGTATATGTTTGCCTTTTTATTAAACCCAACAAACAAGAGCGAAAGATGGAAACGCCGACCTGCCTTTTTACTCTAGTTTCAGCAACTTCTTTCTCTTCCTAGACTTGGCACTGCTACCCAAACTTAGGCCAGAATGACACACCCACTCCTGACTGGCCAACTCCGCCCTCTGTCAAATCTCCCGGCCCCACCCCCCCAACTGACGTCACCCAGCCGATCCTCCTCGGTCCTTCCCAAATTTTCCCTACGGTACCAGCACCATTGCTCTCCAGGCCGCTGGGGGGAATCCCACCCTCCCTGCCCTCCCCCTGTCCCGCTCGCTCACTAGCGCAGCGTATGGTCCGCCATGGGGTTGGAGTGAGCGCGTTGCCGGTAATAACGCTTTTGCGGAGCCTCGGTTCCCACCGTATTCCCAGACTCTGCTCCCGCCATGATGCGCAGCCCAGGGTTTGACGGGGTCCACGTGGAGGCCAAAGCCCGAGGCGCAAGATGATGACGCATGTGCACGCTGAGAGCAGGCCCCGCCCCTTAAAGACCCAAGAGCGAATTCGACAGGGCTAGGTTAGGAGGGAGCTAGAGGCGGGAGTGCGGAAAACCTCCGCGCCGCTGGTCTCTGGCGGGAGCGAGGCGCTTAGGCTCCTCTCAGCTGGTTCTGCCTGGCTACCACGCTGGCTGCAGGCACCTGTGCACCCACAAATGAAAGCGATCTGGGCGCCCTCTCTCCTACAGTGTAATGAAGCATCGTTTGCCTTGGTGTCCAGCCAGGTCTGACAGGTCTGACCAGTTGCAGTCCTACGTAGTTCCTGTCGGGTGTACTTTAGGGACCGGGAAGGAGGCGCGGCTCCTTATAACACCTACAGGAAGTCGAACTGGAGGAAGGAGGCCAAACTCGGGGTGGGGATGGGGGGCGCCTCGGTGCTACCGCGAAGCCCAGACGCCCTGCGGCCCCCAGACTCGACCCTGCCTTAGACCCGGGATCCGCGCGTTCGCCGCTGTACCGGACACTGTCTCCGTCGGATGGCGAGCTCCCGCCGGGATCCGGAATCAGAGCCCGAGTCAGTGTTCCCTCGGGAGGTCGGGCTCTTTGCTGACTTTTACTCGGAGAGGAGCCGGTTCTGCTTCTGTGGGCACGTACTGAGCATCATGCAGAACTTTGGGTCTCGCCTCGGGGTGGCGGCGCGCGTGTGGGACGCGGTGAGGAATGGGCTGCTCCCGGCGTGGGTCCCTGGGAGGTCCAGACCCCGGACTCCGCCTCTGCCATATGGAGCCATCCCCACGACAGCCTTTTCTGACTTTTTTCCCCCTCCTGTAGGCTCTGAGTCTGTGCAACTATTTCGAGAGTCAAAATGTGGATTTTCGAGGAAAGAAAGTGATCGAATTGGGCGCGGGGACGGGCATCGTGGGAATCTTGGCAGCGCTGCAAGGTGCGTGAGCTGGCATTGTGGCGGGAAGCGGGGAGTGAGGGTGTGGAGTCCTAGGAGAGGGGAGTACTTTAGCTCCAGCCCAGTCCCTTCCTTTTAACACCCCCACCCCCACCTTGTTTCTCTGTGTGGCAAGAGCTAATTGGCTGTTAAGAGTACCGAGGACAGTTGATTTGGGGGCAGGAAATAAAAACCAGGCCTTGTAGAAATTTGTTTCTCCCTCTGCTCTCCCCGATTTCAAGGAGAATGTTTAAAAATCCCTTCTAGTGTCCTGTCAAAAATGCCTATATGTGGGTATCCTATAGGGCAGCCACCAACCTACTGGTGTTAAACCTCATGACTGCTTTATAACTTGGTTGTGAATATATGTTAGAAACGGTAGATAGTTAATGGTAGGAAAATCAAACAGGAATTTTGGAGGGCTAGGGCCAGGAATTAAGCACCTCAGACTTGAGAAAGGAAAGGGAAAGGAAAAAATTGCTTCAGTTTTATTAAGAACCAGAAACTAAAGAGATGTCCCTAAATTAGTGAGGGGCAGACAAAACCCCATACCGAGAACACTCACTTAAAAACACATGAAGGCACCACCTGCCTCGAAAGTGCAAGGTCCCGAGTTCAATCCCCTGTACCAAACAAACAAACAAAACACATATGAAGGGTGGCCAGGGATGTAGCTCAGTGGCTCCGTGCCTACCTGGAAAGTACAGGGCCTTGAGTTTGTTCTCCGGTACCAGAAAAAAAAAAACACTTATGAAGTCACTCAAATTAGCATGTACTTGTTCATAGGGATATCACTGGGTCACACTAAGGAAAGTCTTCCCAGACGCAGACATTCATTCTTTTATTCTTTCCAACCAATATGTATTCCAAGCCCTCTGTGTGCCAAGAATCATGCTAGGTATTGGGGACTCAACAAGTGAATGAAGATTTACTCTCCCTAAGGAGCTTGAGGTCTAGTGGGGAAATGGGGGAGATGCCACCATAGAAGATCTGTGGTGAGCTGGTGCACATGCTCTGGCTATGTCTGCCTTGACTCCCTGTGAACCTATCCAGGGAAAGCTCTGTAAGATGGGGAAATGAACAGTATGAACACGGAAGACTCAGGAAGAACAGAGGGAGTGTCCGCTCCTTCCCATGAGGGATGAGTGGATGACATTCAGGTAGTTATATTAAAAGGGAACAGAAAGCCAGGTATGGTGGCATACATGCTTGTAAGCCCAGCACCCTTGGAGGCTGAGGCAGGAGGATTGCAAGTGCCTGGGCAACTTGGTGACTTTAATGAGACTCCTGTCTCGAAATAAAAGAAATTAAAAAGGTCTGGGGATGTAGTTCAGTGTGAAGGCCCTGGTTCAATCCCCAGTACTTCAAAAACAGTAAAAATAAATTTTAAAATAAATATAAAAAGAGACAAAAGGCATGTATATGGTTAGGAACACCTACCTTCACTTGCTCCTGGATTGGCTTCTCTTCCTTTGCTCCCTGTTTAGTTGCTCATTCAAAAATCTGGATGTTCACAGGTGTGTGGTGTTGCACTCCTGCTATCCCAACACTCAAGAAGCCGAGGGTCTCACTATATAGTTCAGGCTGGCCTTGAACTCACTGTGTAGCCCAGGCTGGCCTTGAACTCACAGTGATCCTCCTGCCTCAGTCTTCCTAGTGCTGGGATTACCAGCATGTACCACTGCACCCTGCTAGACATCACCTTTGACTTTGACATGCCCATTTTCACCTCCATATCCATTATTCAGCTTTCTTTCTGCCTCTTTCTTTCCTACTCTACGCTTCTCTTTTCCTTCCTTCCTTTTTTTTTTTTGTGGTAGCGAGGATTGAACCCAGAGCCTTGTGTGTGCTAGGTAAGTGCTCTACTGCCAAGGTATATCCCCAGCCCCGAGTCCTATTGATTTTATCTCCTAAAAATTTTGAATTTTCTCATGTATTTTCACTGACAGTTCACCAGCCTAAGTTGTCATCATCGCTTGCTTAGACTGCAACAGTTATTCTGACTGGTTTTCCTGCTTTGATTCCTTTCTGCCTCCTAGACCCTGCCAATCCTACCCAATAGTCAGAATGACCTATTCTCTTTTTTCTTTCTTTTGTGCATGGATTTGCGTGTGCGTGTGTGTGTGTGTGTGTGTGTGGTACTGGGGATTGAATACAAGGTCTTCACAGTGAACTATATCCCCAGCCCTTTTGTTGTTGTTTTTGAGACAGAGTCTCACTAAGTCACTAAGTTGCCTATGCTGGATTAGGACTTGTGATCCTCCTGCCTTAGCCACCTAGAGTGCTGTGATTATAGGCATGTGCTACAACAGAAGACCTTTTCAAAATGCAACTGTAAATCACACCCTCACTTCAAATCTTTCAATGGCTTGTTGCTTTCACAGTAGAACCAACACCTTTATCCTGGCCTCCATTGCCCTGTCTCCCTCTCCTTCTTCCTGTCTTTGTGCTGCTTATTGCCCTTTTATCAGTTCTACAAACCTACTTGATGTTTCCCTGTAGGGACTTCACATGGATCATACCTTCTAAAGCCCTCTTACCATAAAGCATATGCATTTTTCTTTGCTCTGCTCAAACATCACATCCAAGGGAGGGCTTCCAGGATGGCTTAGGCTCTCTTAGTAAATACTGTATGTGACTGTGCAGACTGGTCTTATGTTCACTTTATCACTGACCTCAGGAGAGTCCTCAGTGCTGCCTAGCTAGCCTGTTACACTTCCCTTGTCTGGTTATTCTTTTGCTCGTCTAAACATGGTTTTTTACCTTCTCGTTCTTAAAAACCTGTAAATCCCTCCTCTGCTATTGTCATGCTCAGCCAATGACTTAATTTCCTATAGCTTCTTTTTTTTCAGAAAATGTTCACCTGTTCCTATCAAAACATCTACTCACCTACGTCTGTCTGTGTGCACCACCTTCTCTTTTGTCACCATGGATGAACAGATTGTGTTAGCTAAGGTCAAACCCTCTACTTTTCACAAAATCCCTGAACCTTTCCACCTGATCCAAGACATTTCCAGCAACCTTCCCCCACCTCCTGCATTTTCAATTCTGTTTTCCTTTCTCTCTGGGTCATTCTCACTTCCTCCCACCCTCCCTCTCTCTCTATATATGCACATAGGGCCGGGGATTTAGCTCAGTGGTTCCACCACCTGCCTTGTGAATGCAAGGTCCTGAGTTCAATCCCCGGTACCAAAAAATAAAAATAAATAAATATATATATGCACATTATATGCTGTAACTCCTCTTTTCTCAGAAAAAAAGATTCTGATCCTATATCTACCTTCAGTTACCAAGCCATTTCTCTGCTTTACAATAAAATGACTATCCACTGTCTCTAGTTCCTCTCCTCATATGTTCCTCAGTTCATTCCTATCAGACTTTCACTCCCCCATGCCTCCTTCACTCTGGTGGTTCTAGTTAAGGCTGTGAGCTTCACTTCCAACTCCATGTTGTTAAATCAGGGAGTCAGTTATCAGCCCACCTCAGTTGGATTTTTTGACATGGACACTGCCTCCTCCTGGAAACTTCCTTTGGGCACCACACTTCTGGGTTGTTTATCTAACCAGCACACTTTCTGTTCTCTTGCTGATTCTTTGGGGTTTTTTTTGGTACCGGGGATTGGACTCTGGTCCTTGCACTTGTGCAGCAGGCAGCGAAACCACTGAGCTAAATCCCCAGCCCAAGATTCTTTTTTTTTTTGGTACGGGGGATTGAACTTGGGTCCTTCCACTTTCGAGGCAGGAAGCGGAACCACTGAGTTAAATCCCCAGCCCTTCTTGCTGATTCTTTTCATCCTCACATTTGAAATTTTTGAGTGTCCCAGAGCTCAGGAATAGACCTTTGATGCCTTCTTTTATCTGTCTGCTCTATCCTGAGCAATCCCATCTCTTTGTGGCTTTGAATGTTCCTTGCCGATGACTGTGATTCTCCCATTTTTATCTCCAGAATTGTTTGTATTACCCAGTGCCTACTCAGTGTCTTCATGTAGTTATCTGATGGTCATCTCAAGTGTAATGTGTCTAGAAATGAAATCATGATCTCCTGTCCCAACCTACTCCTCCTGTAGTCCTCACTTAAATGCATGGCCATTTGGGTCTTCTTGGTCAGGCCAAACATCTGAAATCTCTCATATTCATATTCTCTCTCTCTCTCTCTCTCTCTCTCTCTCTCTCTCTCTCTTTTCCTCTCTCATATTCAATCTGTGGCAAATCCTGTTGACTCTACTTTCAGAGTATATTCAGGATCTGACTATTTTTAGCCATCACTACCACCCTGGTTTAGACCATCATCATTTCTCTTCTCTCACTGCTGCCCCCTCCTAACTGGTCTCCTTGCTTCTGACCTAGCCTCTCTACAATCTTTTCTAACTGCAGCAACCAGAATGCTTCTCTTAACTCACAAGTCAACTTCCATTGCTATTCTTCCATTTAAGGCTCTTCCATCAATTTCCATATTACCCAGACTAAAAGCCAAATTTCTTACAGCCTTTTTACAGGGCCTTGATTGGGATCCAACATCTACTGTCATCCCACTCATTCTGCTCCAGCTGCAGCCTCCCTCAAGATTCCTCCCACCTGTCAGGTGCAGTCTTGCCTCAAGGTCTTTATGCTTGCTGGTCTGTGGTTTGGTAGACTTTAGCCTGAGAGATCCACGTGGTATGCGCCACTGCCGCCTCCAGGTTTTTGTCCAAACATATTCTGCTTAGCGAGGCTTTCCCCAGCCATCCTATTTAAAATTCCGTTCTCTGCCCTGACCCTCAAGCAGTTCTTATCTTCTCTCCTTGCTTGGTGTTTCACTATAGCATTACTGTCATTTGACATACAGTGTATTTTATTTTGTATTTCATTGTTGTCTTCCGTTTCTTGCCACTAGACTGTAAGCTCCATGGAGAAGGATTCTTGTCTATCTGCTGTATCTCAATACCTGGGATATATAACAACATAAAAATGAATGAATGAAGGCTTATACTTCCTGTTCTCCTCCTATAATACTTACCATGATTATGATTAGATCATTACTTTTGCAGACCGTGTGTGTTTCTACCTCTGGAATGAAACTCAAGGAAAGGCGAGGTTTTGCTTTGCTCACCACTGTATACCTAGCTCATAGTAGGCACTCGATACATGTATTTATTGCATGGATAAAGCATTCTGGAATGCTGATCTTCACCCCTGTTTTAACTTTTAAGACACTTACCCTCATTATCAAACTTGAATCTCTTCAACTTCTTTCTCTGTGATTAGCATGGCACAATCCTCTAGTCTTGTGTCTTGGCATTTTTCTCCACATTTACACATCCTCTGAGATGCAGCTTTTCAGCTGAGTATGCCAGTGCCTGCCTATAATCCCAGCAGTCTGGGGAGGCTAAAGAAGGAGGATTGCAAATTGAGCCCAGCCTTGACAATTTAGCAATTTAGCAAGATCTTGTCTCAAGATTTTAAAAATTTCTTAAAAAGGGCTGGGGATGTATCTCAGTGGGTTCAATCCACAGTACTGAAAGAAAGAAAGAAAAAAAGATACAGCCTTCCTTGGATATGCCATGCTGTTTCCCTGCCAAGCTTTTGTAATCACTATTCTCTGCTTGGAAAGATGCACCTGAATAACTCCTGCTTGTTCTTTAGGACTCAGCTGAGGTCACGTCTTCTGGGAGTCTTTCCAGAGCCCTGCAGACAGGTTTGTGTCAGAAGGGGTAGATGCCTAGCCTATCCTCAGCTTAGTCCTGCCCGGGCTTCTGCTGACATCTGATTGTTGTGTGGGGGGCAGACAGGTTGAAGATTAGCTCGGAGAGAATGTTGATGTTGTAGAATGTAGAGTAATGAGAATGCCAGTGGGTAACGTGGAGTTAGGGAACTAAAAGTCAGTGTGGACTTTGAGCTGTCAAGACATTGTCCTTTAGGCCTTGAGGTCTCTGGACCTTCCAGGCTGGAGCCAAGAGCCCTTGGTTGGGCCCTCTGACTTGCATTTCTCCCCCTTGCTCTCTCTCAGGGGGGGATGTTACCATCACTGACCTGCCTCTGGCCCTAGAACAGATCCAGGGCAACGTCCAAGCTAATGTGCCAGCTGGAGGCCAGGCCCAGGTACGTGCTTTGTCCTGGGGGATTGACCAGCATGTCTTTCCTGGAGACTATGACCTGGTGCTGGGGGCGGATATCGTGTACCTGGAGCCCACCTTCCCACTGCTGCTGGGGACCCTCCAACACCTGTGTGGGCCCCGTGGCACCATCTATCTGGCTTCCAAGATGAGAGAGGAGCATGGGACAGAGAGCTTCTTTCACCACCTCCTGCCCCAGCACTTCCGACTGGAGCTGGCCCAGCGGGATGAGGATGAGAATGTCAACATCTATAGAGCCAGGCACAGGGAATCAAGACCTGCTTGATGTTACTTCTCCTGTTCTCAACCCCTTGTCCCAATGAAGAAACTGCATCTCTCCAAAGCCATGTCTTCAGAACCATAAACATAAGGACAAAAAAAAATCACTTTCTCTCCCCTCTTTCTTGACTTTACGCAAGATAGACTTTAAAAAAAAATTCTATGGATTTTTTTTCAGTGTTGGGGATTGAACCAAGGGCCTTGCCTTGCTAGACAAGTGCTTTATCATTGAGCTATATCCCCAGCCCTTTTCAAAATTTTTATTTTGAGGCAGGGTCTTGCTGAGTTACCCAGGTTGGTCTTGAACTTGCAACTTGCAATCCTCCTGCCTCAGCCTTTTGAATACTGGGATTATAGACATGCACTACCATGCCCAGCTTTATGGGATTTTTTTTTTTTTTTGAGAAACAGTATTGCTATGTGTTCCAAGTTAGCCTTGAACACTCTATGTAGCCCAGGCTGGCCTTGAACTCATGGCAGTCTTCCTGCCTCTGCCTCCCAAGTGGTGGGATTATAGGATTGCACCACCACACCCAGCTGGAATTTGTTGTTGTTGGTTTTTTTTGTTTTTGTTTTTTGAGACAGGGTAGTTCAAGCTGGCCTCAAACTTGTGGCGATCCTCCTGCCTCAGCTTCCTGAGTGCTGGGATTACAGGTGTGTGTGCCACCATGCCTAGGTGGGAATTTTTTAAAGAAAAAAAAAGTATTAATGATCTCTTCTGAATCCAACAAAGTCATGTTTTCCTGGGGAGATGAAAAGGAAGAGGCCTCAGACCACCTGTTTGTTGCTTGTAGAGAGAAAAATCTAGTGGGACCATGGCTCTAATTGGGTCAAGTCCTATCTCTGCAGAGCTGCCTTTTGGGCTGTAGCTTTTTCCTCCTTTCCAGAGTGGGAGCCCTGATCTCAGAACATCATCCTCAGAACACTGTACTGAGTACTAGGTTCTTCTCATCTTTGATTTTTCTTCCCTACCCCATCAGTCCTTCCTTTGTAATATATTTTTCTTCACTTCTTGCCTCTTCCCACTGTAGGAGCTCTGGTTGGGGCTTTCTTTACTTACTACTTAGCCATATACCTCCCCTGGGCCTCTGCCATCATTTTCTCACCTTCAAGCCATTCTGCCAACTCTTGCAATCTTCCAAAATCCACTCTGATTAGCTTCCATTGCCTGTAGAAGCAAGAACAATCTCCTCTGCTTGGTACTCGGTCTATCCTCACATGATCCATTACCTCTCTAATTCACTTCATACTCCTTTCCTACTTGTATTGGACCTCTGACAAAATTACAAAGGCCTACTTTTTGTTTTCTAAATCCACATAAAAGTTCATGACTTCATTCTTTATGCTTGGAAATTATATTGCTATGTATCAAAAATCTTTCTTACTCTTTGTCTCTCCTGAAAAAAGCTTTTCCTGAGCCTCTTGTTTGAATGTGATTCCCCCTTTCCCCATCCTTTAACTGTTTGTTCATCTTCTGGGACCTACCTTGTCTTGAGTGGACATTTGTCTGATCTTTATTTTCTCATCATTAGATTATCTTGGAGGGTACAGCTAAGGTTTATTCATCTCTAATTCCCTGAAGCCTAACGCAGTAACTGGCTCAGCAGATAGTTTGTTCTTTCAACAAATATTTACTCGGTTTGTTGAGGTTACTCTATCTCCACCTAGAGGAAACCCTGGGCAGTTTTCTGAACCCACACCTACCTCACAAGTTTGTTGTGAGTCATAAACCGATACTAAATATAAAAGTACATTGGAAATAAAGAAACAATGTTACCCAGATGTGTTGTAATCTTTTGACTTTTTTTTTTTTTGTACCGGGGATCGAACTCGGGTCTTTGCACCCGCGAGGCAGGCGGCGGAACCATTGAGCTAAATCCCCAGCCCTTGACTTTTCTTGTTTTACCTGTTGGGGTTAATTCCAAACGAAATAATTCAATGAAGGCATTTAGGGAATGCGACTGTATCCCTCCGACAGGCAGGTGGCGCCATTGTCATTAGAAGAGTTGTAATGGAGAGTTTTGGCCCTTCCGCCACGCCGTAGTCTGTCGCCGCACCTGTGCGCCAGCGGGCCGTACTGTGGTGCGGCTGGAGATATGTCGCTGTTGCGGTCTCTGCGCCTGTGCCTGGTCACGCGGACTGGGAGCCACCCGGTGAGATCCCTGGTCCCAGTGCTGACCTGTCTCTTGGAGCTCCCAGCCCCGAAGTGCACCCGTCCCTTCTCCTGGCCCCCTTTTGATTTCCCGCTCTTTCCCCGGGGGGCATTGCTTCTTCAGCCCAGCTCCCGTGTGCTGCCCTTCCCACACCTCCTGAGCCATAAGGTCGCCTCCCTGTTCGTGTGCTCTCCCTCGCCCAGCTCCTCGCTGCTTTTGGCTTCTCATCTCCTTTTTGTCCCACCAGGCAGGGTCCCTTCTGCTTCAGTCGGCCCAGCCATGGCGCACGTTTCAGGCTGGGCCCTGGCTATCTTCCTCGGCCTCCAGCAAGGAGCTCCTTATGAATCTGCGTCGGAAAACAGGCTATTCCTTTGTGAACTGCAAAAAAGCTCTGGAGACTTGTGGCGGGGATCTCAAACAGGTGGGAAAAAGATGCAGGCCGGGTACTGGGGTGTGACCGAAGGCTCTTGAGGCACTCAGAAGTCACACTTTAAGGATTCTGCCTTAAATGACAACCTTTGACTTTTTTTTTACTTGGAAGCAATTAAGTCAGTATCCTAGGGTTAATCCTATTCAATGAAAGATTGGATGTATTCTGCTTTTTGAAGTTGAAGGGTTTGTGTGAACTTTGGAGTCAGTCCCATCAGGACCCAAATTACTGTGGCCTCACTAACACTGTGACCTTGGACATGTTAATATTCCAGAGTTGTGTTATTTTTGTCTATATAACGAAAGTACTACCATCTGCTCCTACAGGGACGTGTGAAGATTAAACTTATCCAAAGCACCAGTTACTACAATGCCTGGTATTCAGCATTAGTGATAGACTGCTCATAGATGATAGATTGCTTTAGTTTTGTTGTTGTTATTTTTTTGAGGCAGGGTCTCCCTTTGTAGTTCAGACTGGCCCTGACTCATTATGTAGCCCAGGCTGTCCTCAAACTGCCTCAGCCTCCCTAGTGCTGGGACTACAGGCCTGTACCACCACACCCGGCTTGCTTTAGTTTTTATTATAGAATTTTGGAGAAGCAGAGAGGATCAGGGAACTTTAACATATTTTAAACCCTCATTCAGTTCAAAATTCTATGACTTTGTCATCTGTTTTGTTCTTTCCACTTTATAGGCAGAGATCTGGCTCCAAAAGCAGGCTCAGAAAGAGGGCTGGAGCAAAGCTGCCAAGCTCCATGGGAGGAAGACTAAAGAAGGTCTGATTGGGCTGCTGCAGGAAGGCAATATGGCTGTGTTGGTGGAGGTGCGTTGTTGGAGATGCCACACCTTGGGTGTAAGGCTCCTGTTAGATCCTTTGCATTCTTAAAGAAGAAATGGGTTTGAGGACAATAAAGGGTACTTGGAGTTAAACTTGAGAAACCTCATTTATTAGCTATGGATTCATTTAAGTATACAAATGCACAGATGTGTTGATGAGAAATGGCCTAGCAGTCTAGAATATAGCACCTAAATATGAGTCTAGTGCAATCTTGCATCTGAACACTGATTGTTTCCTGGAACAGTTACATTTAATTTTTAATTTTTTTGTTAGAATATGTTCGTGATTCATAAATATACTCATCATAGGGTATTGGTACATACATATTGCATGTTGATCCTTTTTACTTCCCTTTCCCAAGTTAGATTTTTAAAGCTAATAATTACATTAATTAGTTGATGAGTATCTGTTAGAGAATAGCTGATTTAGAGGCTTGGTGTTGTTGATGAAGAAGTGGATTAATTTACCATAAGAAAAGAATAAACAGGCCGGGGATTTAGCTCAGTGGTTCTGCTGCCTGCCTTGCAAGCATAAGGACCAGAGTTTGATCCCCGGTACCAAAAGAAAAGGATAAACAAAGTGATAGCAAAGATGGTTTGTAGTTGGAGGAGCTAGAGAACGAGATGATTATGGTGTGCAGCCACAAGCAAGTGATGAACTTGTAGTGAGTCCTTCTGAACATTGCAGAACTTCTTCTGAATGTATAGGTTATTGCTAACTCATTGGCGCACCGTAAGAATCACTTCACTCAGTTTCTGGCCTCAAGAGAAGAACTGCAGCTTTAAAATTCGGGGGTCATTTATTTCTGTGTAGTCTGCAGCTTGTTCTATCAATATCTTGGCTTACCCTACAGTGTTAAAGGCACTTTTGGAAACAATCAGCAAACAGCTTATAAACAACATCAATTTATTCCCACAGGTAAACTGTGAGACAGATTTTGTTTCCAGAAATTTAAAATTTCAAGAGTTGGTCCAGCAAGTAGCCCTGGGAACCATGTTGTACTGTCAGAACTTAAAGGATCAACTTTCCACATACAGCAAAGTGAGTTTTGAGGTTGTCTCCAGTGTGCTAAGTTTGACCCCTCCTTCTTTTAGGGTCTTTGCTGTTTCTTCTTTTTGGTGCAGGAGATTGAACCCAGGGCTACTTGCTATGTGCTTGCATGCTAAACACATAGTCTACTACTGATCTACATCCCTTGCCCTTGGTGCCCCCTACCACCACCATACTCTTTTACTGTCTTATTTCTTTCTTTTTTTTTTGGTACCAGGGATCAAATTCTGGTTCTTGTGCTTGCGAGGCAGGTGGCAGAACCACTGAGCTAAATCCCCGGCCCTTTACTGTCTTATTTCACATCTCTACTTAAATGCTGTCTTTGGGGAGGAGTACCCTTCCCCTGTTGTTCTATCTCTTTATTTTGCCTCATCTAAAAAATTTTATTATAGTCCCTATATATTATTATATTTTTTTGATTTGTATGTTGTCTGTCTTGCCCAGTAGAATGTAACCTTCATGAGTCAGGGAACTTGTTTTTTCACTACTACATCTCCAGTGCAACAGAAGTGGGTGCAGCATTTTTTTTTGGGGGGGTGCAGCATTTGGCTGGGGCTCAATTAATCTGTTACTGAATGCCAGTGAGGTGGAGTTAGCCAAATTTGGGGAAACCATCTGAGGCTTCCTGTTCAGAAATCTGAAATGGTCTGAGGACAGGGTTTCCAAATAGAGAGCTTGGGAGAGGGACAGTTTAGAAGAGTGAGTATACTTATCCATAGAAGGATAAAGGAAGAGATTTTATCAGTTTCTCTTTGATTCAGCCTTGTTTTTTTTTTTTTTTGGTACCAAGGAGCGAACTTGAGACTGTGTGCTTGCAAGGTAAATACTAAAATTATTAATTTTAAAAAGTACTGGGCTGGGGATTTAGCTCAGTGGTTTCGCCGCCTGCTGCGTAAGCGCAAGGACCGGAGTTCGATCCCCGGTACCAAAAAAAAAAAAGTGCTCCAAGAAGTCTTACTCCTTCTTCCATCCTATTCTTATTACTTCTGTAGATAACCAACTTCACTAGATCATAGTTATATTTTTAGTATTTCTTTTTGCAAAGATAGGCATATTTATACAGCTATTTCTTTTCTTTCTTTTTTTTTTTTTGGTACCAGGGATCGAACTCAGGTCCTTGCACTTGCACAGCAGACGCCAGAACCACTGAGCTAAATCCCCGGCCCTATACAGCTATTTCTTACACAAATGATAATATAATTTGTATGTACACTTTTTTTTTTTTTGAGACAAGGTCTCACTGTGTGATCCAGGCTGGCCTTGAGATCACAGCTATCCTCCTGTCTAAGCTTTCCAAGTGCTGGGATTACAGGGATATGCCATCACACCCTGCCCTATATGTACTTTTAATTTGCTTTTTTTGTTTGTTTGTTTGTTTGTTTTGTTTTGTTTTTAGTTCTTTTATCGGTACATTTTAGGTATACAATTCGTTAAATTTGCTTTTTATTTTTTGGTGTATGGGTGCATAGTGCTGGTGACCAAACCCAGGGCCTCCTGCATGTCAGGCAAGTGCTCTACCTCTGGGTTACCCCCCTACACACACTTTTTTTTTACTTAATAATATATCCTGGAAAGACTCTATAACAGGAAATCTGTTACAGAAATGGAAATCTTCCTTTTCCTTTTTTCCAGTTGCATTGCATTCTGTTATGTAGTTGTGCCATGATTTACTCAACCAGTCTCCTTCTGTGCTTGGGCATTTAGGCTGTTTGCAAAATTTTACCATTAGAAATAATAGCTCAATGAATAATCTTCTGCATATGTACTTTTGTATCATTGGAAGTGTATCATCAAATCCCTAGAAACAGAATTGCAGGGTAAAAGGATAAATATATATGTAGTTTTGTTAAATATTGTCCAAATTTCTCCACTGTTGGATTTACACCATTTTACAACCCCACCAACAATCTGTAGGTCTCCTATCTTTAACTTTTTCTTTTTTTGGTACTTGAAATTTAACCCAGGGTCTCATGCATGCTAGGCATGCTTTCTACCACTGAGCTACATCCCTGCCTCTCTTTTCCATTACATTTTATGACTGTATGAAAATATCGTTCTTGGTTTCTAGGACATTACATTCTAAGAAGCTAGGCTAGATTTTTTTTTTTTTTTTGGGGGCTGGGGATCAAACTCGGGACCTTGCACTTGTGAAGCAGGCACCGGAACCACTGAGCTAAATCCCCAGCCCTAGGCTAGAGAATGGGAGTGGAATGGAGTTGGGGATGATGCAGTAATAGAATAATTATTTATAATCAATTTTTAACATCCTTGGCTTAATGAAACTACTTAGTTGTCTTCACATTTTCTTAGAGATAGGCTATTTTTGCTTTTTCTCTTGATAATTTCAATTGTGTAGAACTGGCCTCTGTTTGTTTTCTTGTGAGCTTAGGCCTTCTTGAATTCCTCTGAGCTTTCTGGACTTCCAGCTGGGCCTGACAGAGATGGCTCCCTGAAGGATCAGTTGGCCTTAGCAATTGGTGAGTATTTATAAGGATTTTGGAAACTGGAAATTAAAGATTGGATGTTTTGGTATCTTGATGTTCCTCTAAATCTAGATCAAAAATTGCAAGCTCATGTGCCTACAAGAGCCAGATGATATGGTGAGAAGTGAGTTGTGTGTTAGATGTTAAGAAGCAGGGGGAACCTGAAGAGCTCCTCCTCTGCCGAAGGAAGCGCTGTCACTAAGCTCCAGAGATTGTTATATTAGGGGAAATTGAGTTCCAGTCTCATCAGAATTTCTAAATTCCTTAAGAAAATTTAGATTTATGGGGCAACCCATTTTCTGGTCCTCCTGTCTCTCAGACAGAAGCTATGTTTCTCTCAGTAAATTTTCCCCACTCAGAGAGAGAGAGAATTTAGATTTATACGCAAAAATTGCAGTTTTTAGCTTTTTGCAACTTAATAAAATTATTTTCATCACTATACCCAGCAAACTGAGCATGACCTTAGGCAGAGATGGCCCTTTGGCTTTCAGTTAACTACCTCTAAATAGATACAGGGAAAAAATAGTACATTAAACACCAAAAAATCTGGTCCTGAATTTGTAAAAGTACATTCTTTTAGAACCTGCTGGCGATAGAAACAACATCTGGATCATTGTGGTAGGATTAGTGGGAATTTTGCTTTCTTTCTACGTGTCTTTGATGGCATGAGAGAAGCAGGGCTAGAGTTAAGAGTTGCTGGGAATTTAATGCTTATCTGAGGTTTCTGATCAAGGCACTGATTCTGTTTTCATCAGGTCATGTTATAGTATCTGTGATGCTTGAGTGAGTCATGGATGAGAACCAGACAGACAGCTGTGCATTAAGAAATGGGACTTACTAAGAAATCCTTGAAGAGCTGCTTGTCTCAGCCTTGTTAATTTCTGGGAATTAACTAATGGGTAGATTTTTTGAGCTATTTAAAAATTTGTTTTGGATTCTGGATTCTCCCTTTTCCTAATTTTTACTTATAACTATGGCTAATCCAGGCATATTAATCCAAATCCCTTTTTTTAGCCTCCTGCTCCTTCCTACTTTTTGGCTTATTTGGGCTTCATTAGAAGGGAATGGCTTCCTGAGGGGGAAAAAACTGGAATGTGTTTTTGGTTCTCATAGACACTCTGAAAATGTATTTTTTTGTGTTTTGTTTTTTTTTTTGGTACTGGGGATTGAAGTTGGAACCTTGTGCTTGCAAGGCAGGTGGCGGAACCACTGAGCTAAATCCCCAGCTCTGAAAATTTTATTTTTGATGAGAGCAAGTTAAAACTGGCTGATGACATGGATTTTGGATTTTTTGTAGCTTTTTGTTGTAGGCCTTTTCCTGATATAGTGGATGATCAGAAGTTGTCTTGCGCCAGCTAAGGTACTACGTATTTGGGAGGAATGATAATTTGGTGGGAAAAATCACAAACTTGCTTTGGATTTAAATACGAACTTTTAATTCCAGCTCTGCCACATATTATTGGGTGGGTTACTCAAGCTCTCTAAGCCTAAATTTAATGTAATAATAATAGCACTTGAGTGCTTACTGTATGCCAGGTCCTACAATAAATACTTTTACACATTTCACCTTATTTATTTCTCCCAATAATCCTGACAGGTAGGTGGTATCTCCATTTTGTAGATTAGGGAACAAAAGCCTGATGAATTAATAACTGGGGTTATGTCTTTAAGTCTTTTGCCCAATGTTAGGGCCAGAAAGAAGCAGAACTTAAACCTGAGCCTGTGATACCACAGCCTCTTAAATACCAGTGTTCCTTACACATAGAGGGTGCTCCTTAAAGTACTTTCCACTTCTGCCTCTTTAAGAGAAAACTAAAAATTGTATGTCTCTATCTTACTGTATATCTAGTATAAATACAGAAGGACCACCTTCCAGACTTGGTATCTGTACTTGGTGGATATGTTTGTATAACCATGTTGGTTTTTTGTTTTGGTTTTTAATAGGGAAACTGGGAGAAAACATGACCCTTAAACGAGCTGCATGGGTGAAGGTACCATCTGGGTTCTACATTGGCTCTTATATCCATGGAGCAGTGCACAGTCCTTCATTCAACAACCTGGAACTGGGGAAGTATGGAGCCCTGGTCATCTGTGAGACATCTGAGCCGAAAGCAACCCTCGAAGATGTTGGCCGCCACCTTGGGCAGCATGTGGTGGGCATGGCCCCTCTGTCTGTTGGCTCCCTGGATGATGAGCCCGGGGGAGAGACAGAGACCAAGATGCTGTCCCAGCCATACTTGCTGGATCCCTCCATTACATTGGGACAGTATGTACAGCCCCGGGGTGTGTCTGTAGTAGACTTTGTGAGGTTTGAATGTGGAGAAATTGAAGAGGCAACAGAGGCCCAATAGGTTCCAGAGACTTTTGGCCAAGGAGGAAATTTTTTTTTTAGCTCTGGACATCAGTACAAGAAGTTATTTCCTAAGCCCTTTAAAACCCAGAATGGTTTTTTAGTTTATGATGAAATTATGGACTTCACAGGTAAAGTTATTAAATAAAATAATTATAAAATAGAGAGTAGAGTGTTTTCCTGTTTGCATGATACCAACTTTAGCTTTTTTTTTGTTTTTGTTTTTGTTTTGAGACAGGGTTTGCTGTGTAGCTCAGGCTGGCCCTGAACTCACTATGTTGCCCAGCCTGGCCTCAAATGCTTGGTGATCCTCCTGCCTCAGCTCGGAATGCTGGGATTATAGGCGTGTGCCACCATCCTGCCTAACTAGCTTTTTTGTGCCTTTCTTGTGACAGGGTTTAGGAAGCAACAAGAACAGGCATCAGTTGTATTGCTGCTTCCTTCAACATAGATTTATTTTGGTGTCCCTGAAATTCCCAGCTTATTTGTTCGGTCTCACTTCTATGACACAGAAGTCTCATTCTGCTTTTGCTTTGTGACACCTTGGGCAAGCTTCTGGAACTTCCCCAGTTACATCTGCCACGTAGGTTTCGAGACTGTTGATTCAAACCAGAGTTGTCTGGAAAATGGGGGTTCATTTGATGTCTATAGCACCCTTTAAAGCACTTTTCGGTGCTCTTCTCACCAGTTCTGGTCGCATCTGCAGAAATTAGTAACACGTGGCTCTACTTCTCTTTTGGGTGTGGGTGAGTGAGTACTGAGGTTTCCTGGTCAGCTATAGGGCAGATTTTTGACATTCTTGTGGCAGAAATAGGAATTACAGTTGTTATCCAAAGAGCTCGCTCAACATTGCCTGTTTATTTCCTCAGTACGTTGCTCCCAACAACATTACCATAATAAGCAAGCCCCAAATACTGAGAAGAACTCTGTTTGCTCCTACAAGTATCTTTATTTGAAAAATTAAAAATGCTCTGGCACATAATAGATCTGGGCATTGGATTCTGATGTTGGGGTATATGTATGCAAATAACTTTAGTGCTTTGTGGGTTAAATAGGTTTTAGAAATATTGATCTTAAAATTTAAAGCAAATGTAGGTTCTGGCATAGCATTAAATATTTTAAGCTTAGTTTTTTGGTTCTCTTTTGATTTCTCTAAATTGATGCAGTTGTCTGCTAAGGCTTCAGATAAAAGGCCAAAATAGCCCAAAAAAAAAAAAAAAAAAAAGGGTTATTATAGGTCTGTAACAACCAAGGAGTGCAAGAATAAGAAAAAATGGAGAACATGCTGTGATTTTTAGACTCTTGTATATAGATAAGTAGCTGAATGCCAGGTAGAAGTTGGTAAATTCTTTCCCAATATTGACACTTTCTGCTCTCTTGTGGTCTTGTAATAGGCACAAGGCTTCTTGGCCTAGAAAAGCCCCCTTTCTTTCTTCAATTGGAGCTGTTTCCAGCCAGGCAAAGCAGCAAATTTTCCTCTTGTGATGCCGAACACAGACACAAAGTCACATTCAGAGAGATAATTCTAAGAGAAAATAAAGTTTCTAGTTAGAAGGAAGACATGGCATCTCTTAATGCCAGCAGAAGTGGGGGAGTAGGGGCAAGAGGAAGGCCTAGCTAGCTCTGCAGTGTGAAATAGAATTCTCAGGACAACTGTAATAGACTGAAATTGTTCATTGCAGAGGTTTCTTCGTGTTGTGGAGTTCCCTTGTTGCCTGTGGATAAAACTGGGCTTACTGCTCTTATAGTCCCAGTTTTTTGTGAGAAAGACGGTAGAAAAGGGTTATACAGGGCCGGGGGTTTAGTACAGTGGTGCTGCCGCCTGCCTTACAAGCACAAGGTCCTGAGTTCAATTCCAGTACCAAAAAAAAAAAAGGGTTATACATTATGGATTAATTAGATTTTGGCAGAACGAGGAATTAAAATGTTTTATGTCTTTAACTACTATTTTTATCCAGAACTGTAAAAAAATTCTTTTTAGGGGGTTGCTGGGGATTAAATCCAAGGCATGGTGCATGTTAACTAAGCACATGCTTTACCACTGAGCTATAACTCCAGTCCCCCAGAACTTTCCAAGTATAAGATCAGATGGATCTTAGAGCATACAATTCTGATATGATATCCTGATACAATGAATATTTTGTATTCAAATAAAGATTATTTATATGTGGCCTTTGTTTTCAAGAATGTTGTGGCTCAGATACTTAAGATTTGGTTACAGGGACCGGGGATTTAGCTCAGTGGTTCCGCCACCTGCCCTGAAAGTGCAAGGACCAGAGTTTGATTCCTCGTACCAAAAAAAAAAAAATTTGGTTACATAAGTCATTGTGAGAAATCCAGAGCCCTTTCCCAAATCACCTCTTTTAAGGGGAATATCATTCATTCAAAATAAATATGTTAATTCAGTCAACCAAAATTTCTGGAGTGCTTACTATCTGCTAGGCACTGTGTGAGGTACTAAAAAGCTGAAAATATGAACAGGACAGACAAGGGCCTTTCTCCTAAGGATATTACTAGAAGGAGAGATAGACAATGTGTTTAAAGGGACTGGAGCAAGGCTGTATAATATCTCCTTTGAGTAAGGCAAAGTACAAAGAGCAAATAAAGGATGGGTAGAAGAAATAAGGGGGATTGGATCTCTTATCAATGGGAAGGGGCGCAAGAGATGGAAAGGGGGAGGGCAAGTAAGAGTTAAGACGTGCAATGTACAATCACTTCTCGGCTTTTTGGTTGAGATCAAGTGTAGCTATGCCACGTGCAGGAGCCTAATAACCACTATGAATGTAAATGTCTCATAAACATGAGCTAAGAATAATAACAAAAATGAAAATGGGAAAAGGGGATTTAGAGATGAGGGAGGAAAGGGAAGAGGATTAAAAAAGAAACAAGCTGTGTTATGTACATGTTCCTACCCCCCAAGATGAATGTAAACAATGTGCAGCACACATGTACTAATAAAGGGACGAGGGGGTGAAGGAAAGCCTCTCTGGGCAAGTGATGAAGCTGAGACCTAAATACTGAGAAGGAGCTGGGTTTGACAGTCGGGGAGAATAATATTTGTTCAGGCAGGAGCACTAGCAAGTAAGTGTAAAGGCTCCAGGGCTGCGATGAGCATATCCAAGTAACAGAAGGACAGCCACTGGCTTAAGGGTAATAAGCGAGGAGGACAGTGGTATATGAGATGAAACCCGAGGGAGAGACAGGGGCCAGGTTGTAGGTCTTCGCATTCTTTTGCAGTGGTTAGCCAGCCAGGGTGTTTTAAACAGGGAAGTGAGTGACATGTTTACAGGATCCCTTTGGTCTTGGGGTTGGGGGCAGTACTGGGCATTAAATCCATAGCCTTGACACTGAGATAAATCTCTAGCTCTTTTTTTTATTTTGAGACAGTGTCTTACTAAAGTTGTTAAATTACCCAGACTAGGCTCTAGCTTGTATTCCTCCTGCCTCAGTTTTCCCAAGTGCTGGGATGATAGGTATTCACTACCATGCCCAGCTTGGCCATTATTCATAACTATTTATGTAAGGTGGAAACCAGTTCTACCATGGTAGTCCATGATGGGTGGATAGACTAGCAATAGAGAGATGGAGAGGAGTAGACAGAGACTCCCAGATGGATTGGATGGATTCATGTGGGAGGTGAGAAACGAATCAAGACCTTATTTTGGGGGTTGAACCACTGGGTAGCTGCTGAGATTTCCCTTGACTGAGTGCCTATGATAGGCCAGAACTGTTCTAGGCCATTTACTAAGACAGTGCTTTGCTGACAGGGTGGGGGTTACTTTCAACAGTTCCTTCAACCACTCACCTCTTTTTTGGCAGGGTTCACATCCTGAGGCAGCCCCTGAGTCTGACTTTTTAACAGAACTTCTATAGGGTAATATTTTGCCTCATTGTCACCAGAATTCAGGGAGAAGGTGGCATTCTTCATGTCCTAAGTAAGAGAAAAAAACTATTTAGTGTCTCATGTAATCAGTTTCACATAGGTATAACTTTCAACGTTTTGGCTTATGCCACTTCACCCTTTATAATCATCTTTCAGAAAGGTGGTCCCCAAAGCTGGCTGTATGTCAAAATCATTTGGGGATAATATATTCATGTTTTGGGGTCTTTCTTGGGGAAGCTGATTCAGTGAGTCCGGGATGAATCTTTGTAGCTGACTTGGCATACATTCTCTTCTTAAATCTAATGAATGATTATTTGGTGCTGGGAATTAAACCCAGGGCTTCATACCTGATGGGTAAGTACTGTACCACTGAGGTATACTTGTAACCCTAAATCTCTTTTAAATTTTTTTTTTTTTTTTTTTTTTGCTACCGGGGATCAAACTCGGGTCCTTGCGCTTATGCAGCAGGCGGCGAAACCACTGAGCTAAATCCCCGGCCCTCTTTTAAATATTTTGATCACACACCTCGTGGCATTTTTACTTAAGCCCTACATGTCCAACCTTTTGATGTCTTCAGATTGAAGCCATACTTTTCTTAAATAAAATTTAAAGACACTACATCACCAGTAACTTTGGAATCTGATTTGGTAGATCACAAAGGACAACACTGCCACTGGTGCTATACGCTTGTCCTGATGTTAAAGAGGTACTGGGCTCCTGTCTAGAGGGTCCACTTCTTTTAGCTGTTAAGACAGAGTAAATGGCCTAAGTTTGTGTGGACTCCACTGTCAGAAAGTGATAAAAATATCATTTGGGTTAGAAACTTATTTCTGAAAATTACTGCCAATAACTTTAATCTCTCTTGAAAGGGAGAGTTGAATAATAAAATTAATTTTTATTTTTGTTTTTCTTTTAGACAGCAAGTATAGTCTAAATTCTGGAAGGCAGTGAAATAAGGAACTTGGCTCTGAGACCTGCTTTTCTACTCATTTTTTTAAAATGTTGGAGCTGGGTACTGCCTGTAATCCCAACTTTGGTGATTGGGAATTCAAGACCAGCTTGGACTACATAATGAGATCCAGTCTCAAAAAACAAACCAAACCAAACCAAAACAAAGAAGGGGTAGTTCAGCAGTAAAGCCTTTGTGTAGCATGCACCAAGTCCTGGGTTCAATCCCCAGTACTGTGAAAAATGAACAACTTTATATCAAAATTGACAACTAGAATAATACTAAGAAGGACTTGGTAGGCATTTGCCCATGTGGCATCTGTAGCATTTGTTGTTTCTCTCTGGCTCTGAGGCTTCTCCAAGAGCAAAGCCCACTCACAGCAGTGATTTGTAGGATAGCAGCACCATCTCCCAGCTCTTCCTTTAACTGTTGGTATGATTTTCCTGCCTGAGAAGAGAGAGAAAACACAGGACGATAGGAGAGGGCCAACTTAAGCCTGATCTGTTATCTTCAAAAAAAGAAAAAAAAGCAGAAGGCATTTCAAAGATAAGTAAAAGATGAAAATTCTTCCTTCTGGGCCCATGTAGGGTAGAAAGACTCTTAAACATGGCCTACTTTTTTATGGTTCCCCATGACTCTTCCCTACTGGATCTAGGAAAGAGCAGCTGATTAGGCGTCAGAAAACCTGGCTTCCATCTACTGTGACTTTGGACAAATAACTTGTCCTCTTAGCTTCCTCATCTACAAAATGGGAAGCATAGTACCTGCATTGGCTATCAGTGTAGTTATGAAAATCAGAAAGCTGATGATGTGCTTAGATACATGATATAAACCAGTGATGGGAAACCTGTTAGAAGCCAAGTGCCCAAACTGCAACCCCAAACACACCTATTTATTTCAAGTGCCAACACTGCAATTAAACCTGATACTGAAGTTTTAGTTTAGAAAAAAACAACTCATACATTAACATCTTTTGTCTTTAAAGAAAAACAAATAATATATGTGCCATAGGTTCACCACCACTGTTATAAATTGTTATTTCACACTGCCCACTGCTTAGACAACTGTGAATGATCTAATTGAACTTGTTGCTATAGGGATAAGAGAGGAGAGAAGAAAAATAAAAAGCAGGAAGTGGAGTGGGAATGGGAAAAATGTTTTCTTGGCCCTTGAATCAGTACCTCGGCTGCCCCCCAACCTCTTAGTTCTGTGCTCCCCAGCAGAAACCTCTTCCCCAGGCTCTCTGTTCTTACACTCCATATGTGAGGGTCCCAGGCCAGGAACCAGCCTGTGAAATTGGGAGGCTCAAACCCCTGTTTGATGATCAGGATGGGCATGTCAGGGTCTCGGCCACTGGGATGAGTTTGCAGGTATTCCTGGGCAGTAGCAAGGGCCCTCTCCTTCTCTGTGGCATTGGCCTCAGCTCCAATCCACAAGAACACCTGGTGTACAGATTTAATATTTGTTAATGCGCTTGTAGCAAGGACCAAGTACTAGATCAATAACACTGCACATCTGTCCCACCCTGGCAATTCACAGCCCCAGAAAATATTCTCAACCTAATCTGTTCAGCAGAAAGATTTTCCCAGAACCAGCTTGATATTTGTGATTTTAATTGCCATATGTATCTCCCAAATCTACATCTCTATACCTGCATGCTCTCTGAACTTTAGTTCCTGAACCTAACTTCTTGTGAAACACACTTTCTTGGAGGACCAGAGCTGCTCTTCTTTGATTCCGATCCTTCTTTTGTATTCACAGGAGAAACCTATGTAAAGCACCATCTGGCCAAATCACTTACCTTAAACTGCTTGACATGGTAGGTCAGTCGTATACCTACTTCAGCTTCATCTCTTGTGTGCTTCTTAACTCTATCCTTTATCCTGATAATGTTTTCTATTTTGATCTTTTGTGCGCTATTTCCTCTGCCCAGAAGGTCTTCTCCATCTTTCTTTGCCAATTAAAGCCCACACATCCTTTGAGATTGAGCCTGGAAGGCTTAGAACCCCTAAACTGTGTTGAATGCCCTTAATTTGTGCTCCTCTGACCCCCTGTATGTACCTTCGTAGTGCAATGACGTTTCTCTGGTCACTCCTAGCAGCCTGTAAATTCTGAGAGCAGGGACCCTTCACCTGGGTGACACCCACATGACATGGTGGCTGATATGGAGGAGATGCTTAACATGTTTGCTGAGCTGAAGAAAATGGTATCTTTTTCACACTCCTTGGTCCCCTAAAAGGGTCATATTCTCTAGATTTGGTGCCTGTTGCTCCTGATTCTAAGATAAAGAAGGACAGGATGATAGGATGGCCTAATTTCCCCAGAGCAAGGTGGGAATGCTTCCTCCCAAGGTGGTGAGTTTTAAACATCATTCTCTTCTCTGACTTGGTAAAAAGCAGACTCTTCCTTTGGTCTCCACTGACCACTGCTTTACTTGGGGATTGCCCGGGGCACCTCTGGATTTCTTCTGGCTGGGGATATTACAAAAAACAGCCTAAACTATGGGGATCTTTGCCATTTGTTCTGAGATCTGTTACTGAGGTCTTACCTGGTCCCAGGTATCCAGGAGCATCACATCACCTGGGTTCAGGTCATCCTGGGTGAAGTCTGTGATCTCGGAGACAATGAACTGGCCAGTCTTATTGGAACATTCAAAGAGACGGGACTGGACATCTAGAATTTCCTGCTGTAGTCTGCAAGAGAATCCATTTAGAGGCAGGAAGCCACATAGAAATCATGTTTTTGGAACTGAAAAAAATCTTAAAGTTCGCATACCCTATAGGTGGGGGAGCTAAGGAGGGGGAGGCTATGTTCTTGTACCTTTTCTCATTGGCATAGGGAGTTTTTCCTCCTAGCAGGTCCCAGAACTCAGCTGACTCCTGGCCTTCAGCCACAGTTTCCTCGGTGCCATCACAGATTACTGTGGCCAGCTGCTTCGCCATGGCCCGCTCATCCCCACTGGAGCCCTGACAGCAGGGCAAGGAGAGCAGACATGAGTCCCTTGGGCGCCCTCAAGTGGGAAGAGGCGCTCCCGAGACCATAACTGATGTGATCAGGGTCAGCTACGGAGCTCACTGCCTCAGGACAGGGAGACGGGTTTTTTTCTAGGACTGGGAAGAGGGGAAGGAAGACTGACTGTGGTGGCAAAGAACAAGAATAGACTCCAAAATCCACAGCGAATGTTGAGTCACCTTTGCTTCAGTTTCAGCTGGAAGTTTAGAACCTATTTTTGATTCTTTTTTTTAGAGAAAAAAATTTAAATTATGTACAACTGACTCTGTCACATTTCCATGAGGCTTGACAAACATGTAGAATCATGTTCGCACCGTGACAATACAAAACTGTTTCCTGGGCCGGGGATTTAGCTCAGTGGTTCCACCACCTGCTGTGCGAGCACAAGGACTGGAGTTCGATCCCCAGTACCAAAAACAAAACAAAACAAACCTGTTTCCTCAGTCCTTGCCTGAATTTCCTTTGGAGTCAAACCCTCCCCAAATCCTTAGTCACTGGCAACCATCTGTTCTCCATCACTATAGTTCCACCTTTTCCAGAATGTCACAATATTTAGCTTTTCAATCTTGCTTCTTTCACTTAGCATGAACTGGAGATTCACCCATGTTAGTGTGTTTATCAGTGGTTAATTCTTTTTCATTGCTTGTAGTATTTCATTGTTTGATGTACCACTGTTTATCTGTTTTCCAATTAAGTGTTTCTAAGTGATTATTAGTAAAGGTGCTATACACATTTATGTATAGCTTTTTGTTTGAAGGTAGTTTTAAAACAATTTCAGATGGGTAAATACTCAGGAGTAGGATGGCTAGATCATATTATAAATATATACTTAACTTTATAAGAAACTGTCAAACTATTCTCTAAAATCTGTGCCATTTTTCAGTCCTACCAGCAAAACGTGCGAGTTCCTATTGCTTTGTATCCTTGGTCTTATATTGTTAGCATTTTTGCCATCTAATAGATGTGTAGTGGTATCTCATTGTAGTTTTAATTTGTATTTCCCTAATGATCAATGATGTCAAGTATCTTTTCCTACTCAGTTGCCCCCATACACACACACACACACACACACACACACACACACACAAACACACATCCTGAGTTGGAGACTTGAGCTATGTTGCCCAGGTTGGCAATTAGTAATCCACATCCCTCAGCCTCCCAAGAACAGTACTAGGATTATGGCCACATGCCATTGTATCTGGGTTCAATTTTCTTTTGTAAAGCAATTTTAGTGCTTTTAAAGGGACTAATGAATCAACAGCATCACATTTTTTGTGTTTTTGTCCTGTGTTAGCCACCTGTTCTGTTACAAACCTCCAAACTCATGTGGGAGGATAGAGTTATCTAGCCCTTGTGAGAGTAGAAATTTATGGGATGTAAACAGGGATGTCAGTGAGTTTTTAATGGAGGTCAGATTGTGGAGAATGTTGGTATTTCCTTTGAAGGTTCTTTAGGAAAAAGGCTCTTTTCTTTGAGAACAACACCAGCCTATTATGTATTCTTCAGTTCCTTTGACCCTGCTGACTAGGAACAAAGGTGAGGGATAAGAGGGAAAGGGATGGGCTCCAAGGGGCTCATCTGACCACTGGGCCCAGCCCTCCTACCTTGCCATACCACAGGTAGTGCTCTGCCTGGGTTCGAAGCAAAAAGACATCATTGGAATTTAAGGAAGAAGCAAAGGCTGAAACTTCCACTGCCTTGGTGTTAAATTTGTCATTTCCTTGAATCTGGAAGAGTCTTACTGGAGGGTCAGGCTCTGCATTTCCCTTCCTAGAAGTCCCACCCTAGAGAGAAGAAAACCAGAGTCCAGATCTATAGAACACCATTCAAGCACTAAGCTGACTGTTGTAGGAAATGTGGATGAATCTGACACCATCTTTGCCCTTCAGGAACTTCTACACTAACTGGAAAGGGTCAAGGTGAGCTGGGGTTTGGGAACCAATAATATTTCCTGCTCTCTTTCCTTCCTTCTGGGTCATATTATATATTCCAGTAGTCCAGGTTGGTAATCCTCCTGCCTCAGCCTCCCAAGTGCTGGAATTACATATATACTACTTCACCCAGTGATATCAGCTTTCATTCTGAGAACTTTGTCATATGCAGGCTCTGTGACTAGTGCCTTACACTTCATTGATCTTCATGATAACTCTATGAAGTAGGTATTATTCAACAGTTCAGATGAGGAAACTGAGATTTAGAAACCTGGCTAATAAATGACAAGATAGGACTTGCCCCAAACTTGTGTGATTATCCAGCATGTGATATTATGCATTATCTGCTAGGGCTTCAGCCAGGGCTTCATGGAAGAAGTAGATGTTATGGTTTATATCTCAATGTCCCCCAAAAGTTTTATACACTCATAGGTGGGGCTTTGGGGAGGTGATTGGATTACAGGGATGTGATACTCATGAGTGCATTAGTCCACTGATGAACTTATAGCTAAATGTGATAATGGGAGGTGGCTCACTTGGGACGTGGCCTGGAATGGTCTATCTCCCTCCCTCCTCCTTACTCTCTCTCTGCTTCCTGTTGCCATTCCATGGACTCTTTCTCCCCGCTATGCCTCTCTGTCATGCTGCCGTGCCTTGGAGCCAGCAGACTACAGACTGAAACCTCTACTAATTATGAACCAAAATAAACCTTTCCTGGGCTGGGGATTTAGCTCAGTGCTTCTGCCGCCTGCCTTGCAAGTGCAAGGACCTGAGTTCGATCCCCAGTACCAAAAAAAAAAAAAAAAAAAAATCAAAGGACCAGGGGCTGGGGATTTAGCTCAGTGGTTCTGCTGCCTGCCTCACATGCTCAAGGACCGGGGTTCAATTCCAGGTACAAAAAAAAAACAGAGAGAACCTTTCCTCCTTAGAGTTGTAGGTGTCCGGTATTGTGTCTCAGTGATGGGAAAGTAGCTAAGACACGGGGCTTGAATTTAAGAGGAATATCTGAGGGGTGGGTGAGGTATGGCACATTCGAGGTCTAGAGAGGAGACCCACCTGACTGGAAAGGAGGGTACAGGTCAAGAGTGGAGGGTAATGCCCTGCACAAGTAGTAGTAGGGGTCAACTTATGAACGCCCTTCAATGTGAATTAGACAATCCTTTGGACTTGAAGCTCCAAGCATTTGGGATTTCCTTGAGTGTTTTAGACTCACCCCCTACTTTGTGTCTAACTCAAACCTGGCTTCCCACCCTACCCACCCCACGCCTCCTCATCTCTTGGGCAGCTTCCTTCTGGTGTGTTAGTTCTGAGCTTCCTGCTCATGGTGCAGTTTTATCCAAGGGTCATTACCTCATAGATAACAAGCTTTCCTTGGAAGATGGCCATGAAGTGGCGTGGCTCCTTCCCCATGCTGACCCGAACCTGCACAGGGGATCCATCAAATTGCCGATCCAGCTCTACTGCCTGGTATGCTGAGGCTGCTAGCTCATCCTGTGAGGCATGGCGGCCCTGCAGTGGTGAGAGCAGTGTGATGGGCCCTTTCTCCGTGCCCCAGCTGGGGAGCCCAGGGAGTATTCGATCCAAAGCTGAGAGCTTGCTCCAGGCCTACCTGCCAGATGTACAAGATGTAATGCGGCCTCCCATTCACCTCATACGTATAGAGAATCAAATAGCAGTCTCCCCCATAGAAGAAGCCGTACCACTGATGCTCCACGGGCACCAGCTCCAGGTTCTCAATTCGCCAGACCTGGGCATGAAAGACAGTTCCCCAGAGATGGGCATCCTGTTCAGAGAGCGCTGGTGAAGGGAACTGGGCCATGTGTAGCGAGAACTGGGTGGGCAAGGTGCTAACATTCACTCCAAGGACCCCTCCACATTCTTTTCTTCTCTGCCAGTGCTCAGGGTTCATCACATTTGCATGATTTGAATCCTGAGACTGGATTATCCAGGTCAGGTGCACCCTGCTGCACGGGCTAGTTCTTTGTAGGCTGAACTATGATTTGAATATATCTGCCAGGTGAGTTATCAATAGCACATGTGGGGAGTTTCTTTTCACTTCCCTGAAGCATTGTGGGGAAACTCTATCAACTCACAAGCCTCTTTGAGAATACTGAGGTGCCCAAGGGGGAAAAGAAGCAAAGCAGACAGAATCACCTGCCCTCCGGTACAGCAGGAACAGCTGAGAGGGCCAGTGCCACTATCATCAAGCTCACCTCCACTTTCCCGTTGCCATCATCCACCATCCTTTCCTGGGCAGCTATCTCTGGCTGAGTGTGGAGTAGAGTCACATCAAACTTGTCCTGGAAAACTTTAGCTGTAGAGAAGGGATTGGGAAAATCCGAGTAAGCAAAAATCACCCATGCCTGTCTTCTTAGAGCTAGCAGTGAGAGGACGCTAAGGGGAGAATCTCACCAATTTTACCAATGCTGAATATTTTCCCCAGGCCCGTGGTCTGGTCCTTCACTGACCACTTCTGGAACAGCTGCTTGAACATGGCTGACTCAGCACCATCACTGACAGTCTCCACGTTGGTGCTGCTGGGGTAGCCCTTCATCTTGATGAAGCCCTGTGCCCCAACCACACAAAGGCAGGTCAGCCAGGGACTATACTGAGTTCTTCGCTTGTCTGGTAATCCGCCCCTTGAAACCAGTTGGTAAGATCCCTCCTGTCTGGGAGTCAGGATCAAATTCTAACTCACTTCCATCTGACCTCCAAGTTACCTGCCTCAAAAAATAACTGAGTGGGACATTTTGACTTCTCTTCATTGGTCTGTTGTGATTACGTTATGACTGTTTTCGCACGACTTCCTAAGCTGTGTTCTTTCAGCACTGGGTGTAACTCTGCGGACTTTCTGTCACAATCACTTGCTCATTTATTGCTTTGTAAGTGCATCTTGCTTGGGTCATCTGGTGTGTCTAAACAAGTTCATAAACTCCTTGAGGACAGGACCATTAACCGTGATGTGACATTCCCTTCAATAGCAATAGTCATCTGTTATGGAGCAGATGCTGTGTGCCAGGTACTATTCTGAGTGCTTTTCAAGTGATATTTAATCCTCACAACCACCCCGGAAGATGGGTATTAACCTTGTGTTAGTATAAGAAAATTGAGGCTCAGTGGTGTTCAGTAGTCTTCCCCGGAGCACTCAGCTGAAAAAGATATAACCGAATTTGAAGCCTAATTTGTATTTGTCTAACTCTGAAGTCCATGCACATAACCACAATGTTCTATGCTCACATGATTAGAATGGCTGCCTGCACACATCTGAAATGATACTGGCAGAATTACTGCACATCTATAGCTCCTACCAGGGCTTTAGACATGGCTGCCTGTTTCTCAACCTTTGTGGCTCCTTTTCCTTTCCACACGTATATCTTGGCTCCACCTTGGTCCAGGATGTAGCAGTCCTGAAGCAGTCAGAGATAAAGATGGTTATGGCTGCTCAAGACCAGAAGGAAGGATTTGCCCAGGGTCTGCTTCTGATACCAGGTCTGGCTATCCCAAGAGAGGTTCCCTCAAGTGCTACTTACATCATGGTTCAGTAAGTCCTGGGCCAGAGGCCTCGTGGATACCTCTGTGACTGCCAGATGCCCTGCTGAGTCTGAGACACTGGAGAAAGGGAGAAGTTAGCTTGTACCTTCTCTTCTACAAAGCATCCTGCAGTCACCTTGATGTTTTAGTGTGGAGTTTCTGGGTAGCATTTGATTTAAGACATGCATGGCTTGTATGCAGACAGGAATGTACAGGGGAGGGAGGTTCTGGGCTCCTTCCAGGAGCTGAATTGGAAAAGGACCAAGGAGCCAGGCACAGTAGCAGATGCATGTAATCCCAGGACTCTGGGAGGCTGAGGCAGGGGGATCACAAGTTCAAGCCCAGCCCAGGCAACTAAGTGACTTAGGGAGACCATGTCAACTGAGAACACCAGGCTGCTACACCTAAAAGAAGGAGCCAAATTGAATGCCTGGTTTTCTAGGTGACACTTCCCTTCCACCAGCTTCCAATCAGCAGCCAAGTTTTGCTACTCACTGATACAACGTGATATTTGACTTTTGCTGCTGATCTATGATTTCATCAGGGACTGCAGGCTTGATAATAGAGCGTCGGCCAAGGGTGTCCTGAAGGACCGTCATCAGCTCCGGGCTGGCTGCCTCCTTGTCCCCCTCAATCACTCCTATTTCAGCACGGCCCCCTCGCTCTCTGTCTCGAATATCCTTTGCCAGAAGCATAGCCTATCAAAGAAGCCCAAGGAAGCATTCAGCTCATCTGGGCCCCTTTCTGCTTGACTGCTCTGGTGGGGAGCATCCTGGAACCCAGGCACAGAGTTATTCTGATGCTGAGGAACCCTGGGGTGAGTCATACACTTGACCTGTCAGCAAGACAGCCCGCTTGTTGGACGTTGTGGTGCATGCCTGTAATCCCAGCACTTGGGAGGCTGAGGCAGGAGGATCACTGTAAGGCCAGCCTGGGCTACATAGTGAGTTCAAGGGCAGCCTGAATTACATAGCAAGACCCTGTCTCAAAAAACAAAACAAACAAAACAAAACCAACTAACCAAACAAACAAGAAAGACAGCTTGCTCAAAGGGAGGGGTCCACCTTGAATTTTGGGGATCATCATGGAAACAAAAGGGAAAAGGCACCAGAGAATCCAGCCCCAGGGCCAGGCCTGAGGCAGAGTAGAGAGTCCTGAGGAAGAGTCATACCTTCAGGCGTTCCCCACTGTTGCTCTCTGGGCCATTCCACTGTATTATGACCTTCCCGAGGTCCAGCAAAAAGACATCGCCTCGGTTAAAACTGTCCCAGCTCATTTCCACCTGCAATTGAGAGGCACACAGAGCTCAGAAAAATTCATAGGTACCAGGTAGAGAAGCCCTGGGTGCAGGACAGTCAATGGGCAGGACTTACCTCAGTGGCCCTGATGTTTCTCTTCCCCTTCACGTGTAGCAGCCGCTTCACATCGTAGGTGTTGGTCTCCACGTGCTTCATCCCAGAGGCCATGCCCCCCTTTTTGTAGCTGAGGAAACATCCATTATTTATGGAGCACCTGCTGTGCATTAGGTTCAGGTAAACTGCTGTGAATTACACAGATGTAGCCTCCACCCATGTGGGTGACAACAACAAACCCTCAAGGTAGCTGCTGCCCTAAGAGCAATTAATACACTGCTGCACTGAAGGGCTTGTTTTGTTCTAGGAACCGTCTAAATATCAGTGTGCAATGGAGGGAGGGCTGTAAGTCAGGCAGAGGCAGAAACATTAATGATACCACTGGGCCTGGGATTTAGCTCAGTGGTTTCCGCCGCCTGCTGCGCAAGCACAAGGACCCGAGTTCGATCCCCGGTACCAAAAACAAAACAAAACAAAACAAAAAATGATACCATGGCCTTGGGACCACTCCAGGAATCAGCTCTCCTGCCTCTGCACTCACACCCAGGGGGCTCCAAACCAGGTGTCCTGCACTTCAGGGGATGCAGCAGGCAACCCCAGAGCAGAGGAGCTTATCTTCAGGCTTCCTTCAGGCAGTGCCCTGTGCCTAGCAGGTCCTCAGTGAAGACTGCCAACCTGCTAGGAGCTGGCCTTGACCCAGCCTCAGAGTTCCTGAGCTCATTGGAACCCTCTTCTCTGTTTTAATCTCAAGTGCAAAGTTTTGAGTTAATTAAACTCCTCAGTTCATGGAGCATTAGCATCACTGGCCTCATAAGCCTCTCTCGTGTTCAGTGTCCATGCATTCCCTTTGACCTGTGTGCCCTCCTCCCATTCCCCTCCCCATCTCAGGCTTCCATTCTGCCAGTTTAACAGTTCCTTTTATTTTTATTCTAATAAAATATGTCCTGTTGCTTGTATGCATTATATTTGTAAAAAGAGGTTGATATTTAGTGTTTCTTGCTTTGCTCACTATGCACCATGTCTGTGAGACGCATCCCAGTGTCAGGTGTGTGTCGTCTGGTGCTTCTGCTATGCAAGCCCAGTCTTCTGGTGATGACATCAATGTTGCCCAAAGCTTTCTATCACCATTAATCATTCTATTACGAGTATTCCGGTTTGTGAGCTCTTATGGACCTGAGTATGTGAGGATTTCTCTAATTGGAATTTGCTTTAGTGGCACTGATACTTTCCAGAATGAAGTGCCAGGCCATACTCCCACCAGCAGTGCACCAGGCTCCCATTTACCCACAGCCTGGCTAGCACTTGGCACCACTCAGCTCTCTCATTTGTGCTACTCTGATAGATGAAAGTGAGAGCTTTGTTTTGCTTTTCATTTCTTGGGATTACTTTCTTTATATTTGTACTGGCCCTTTGGGTTTCCTCTTCTGTAGACTGCTGCTTCTGTCCTTGCTGTGTGTCAGCACTACTCACATGATGCCCTGCTTGAAGTAGCCATGGAAGGTGTCGGACTCGTGGTACTGGACCTCTCGGTGCTGCACAGGGCTGCCTCCCAGGTAGTCATCTAGCTGTGTGGTATAGATGGCTGCACAGCTCTGCTCATCCTGGGAGGAGTCTTTCCCGATCCAGAAGTGGATGTCCTGGGAGAGGAGACTGCCCACTTGCCGAGTCTGAGGTACAGCCAGAGAGATCAGGTCAGGGGCCAGCTCACCTCCCCTTTGTTGCTGGACCCTCTGGCATGGGGTGAATGCAGCCTACACTGGCTTGCATCCTGCCTTGGCAGGCTCAGGCCCCTCTCTGTCTCTGGACTGGGTACTGGAGCCGCCCTGTCCCCTGGGCAGACCTGCTATTGTGGCTCAAGCTTTGATAGCCCAAATTCCTCCGCACACTTGGGAGAGTTGACAGCTTGTTATTTCTACAATAAATGGAGACCACAGGGGACTTTTTCCCAAATGGACCGCAGACTCACCTTCCAGGTCTCAGCTGCACATCTGGTCATGCACAGCTGGTCTGCACGTCTGTGTGACCCTGACAGTGCTGTTCATGGGCGATATTGTTTCCTCCACTAGAATGAGCACTTCAAGGCCACAGGCAGGCCTTATGTTCGGCCTTCCCCACAACTCTTTAGTGTGGTGCTTGGGCCCTGGGAGGAAGAAGTGCTACTCATGGGCAGCTTGTGGAGGGTCAGGCTGAGGGCCCCATGCCTGCCCTCTGATGCAAAATGAAAAGCTGAGGGGCTGGGGATTTAGCTCAGTGGTGCAGTGCCTGCCTTGCAAGCACAAGATCCTGAGTTTGATCCCCGGTACTGCAAAATGAAAAGCTTAGGACTAACAGTGGCCTTTCACAGTCAGACTGGAGGCATGATCTACACAGCACTGGGCAAGAACTGAGACGAATACCAGGAACCCGCATTCTTCCCTTACCAGCAGATCACTCAACAGAGCCCAGGAACTAACCGGCTCTCAGGGGAGAAGCCACAGGAAAGAGGAGGGTAGTGCTCACCGAGAGGATGATGTAGCAGTCGCCCTCATAGAAGTTGCCATGGGCACTCAGGGACACCAGTGCCAGCTCCATTTTCTGGAAGGACAAGGGATGTACAGAGGCAGCGTTCTCTCTCTTCCTATCCGCACAAGCCTCCCTCAACACTGTTGTTGGCACAGGTGGAAGGAGAGAAGGGAGATGTCCCCAGCACTGGGGTCATGTGCCTGCTGCTCTGGCTTCTGTGAGCTCTGCCTGCAAAACCCTGGATCCAAGTCTGAGTTCTGTCCTGGTTTTCCTTTTCCTGTCCTCCCCATGCCATGCCTGGTCTCATCTCACCCTACCGTGTGAGCCTTATGAACCACTTAGGCAGCTCTTTGCAGGGGAAGGAGGAGGATGTAAACTGTCGAGTGCCCTACCCCCAACCCAGTAGTCATGTTGGCCAGGCCTGCTCCCTTGGGAGTGTGGAAGTGGGGAGCCTACCAGCCTTGAGAGTGCCTGCAGATGCCAGACTCCATGCCATGTGTCCCACTTCTAGAGTCTGGGCTGGGGCCCTGATTTGTCACTGTATACTGTTCGTCCTGGGAGGGTCATTCACACAGCCTCAGAGATAATTTTCATCACTCTCTCCAAGTGAGGTCAACCTGCAGGCACACTAAGTGTGTTTTATTTAGAGTATGTGTGTTAAATGTAAGAAAATTAAATATACTACAATTTCGGTAACTCCACCTTAGTACCTATTCATTTTTGAGTAAACTCGGAGACTTAAAACAATGGATGAGACCTGGGTCTCTTCCAAGCTCTGAGAGCCTGCCTGAAGTCTGTGACCCACCTTTCGTAATTGAGGAGAGTAAAGGGAGACTTCACTGCTGGTTTTATACAGCAGCAAATGGACTTGGTGAGGTGTCCTCACATTGGACAGGTGGAGCTACCCAGCCCAGAACTCTGGGCTCAGTCACTCTAAGGGACCCATGCCCAGGGTAGGGAGGGGGGAGGGATGAGCAACACCCCATCTGTGCCACATCCTGTCAATGCTTTGTAGGAGCCAGAGTCCAGTAGATGTGTTCCATGTTCCATTTCTCTGATGGGAGTGCCCAGGAGCCTCCTGGGAGAGTCCCACCCATCTTTCCAGGACATGAACTGATAGTGCAGACTCACTGAGCAGATGGCTGGATAAAGGACAAGCCAAGTTTTGCTCAGAGCCCTGATTTCCAGAACTAAGAGCATTTCTTCTACCTGCTACCTACCTGCTTTGAGCACCAGGGAAGGGACAAGGATGGGAAAATATGCACTTTGATGCTGCCTCTCACTGTTCTCAAACCATGGACTCAGGAGGGCTGGAAGGCTGTTATCTAGCAGCCGCTGGTAGCCAGATTCTGCCCGCAGATGCCAGTGGTCAGGTGTAGGGTTCCCAGCTCACCTCGATCCTCCATGTGATGATCCCAGGGTCGTTGCCCACAGCCCTGAAGGCATTGCTCAGAGACATGGTGCTTGTCTTTCCAGGACTGAAACATCAGAGCAAGAGGTGATCCCCGTCATGCCAGGCATCAATCCAGCTTTCCTAAGTCAGTTTCCAACCCATCCGCCATCCTACCATGTCCTTGTGGCATGCACATCTGCATGCCATTTCACCATGACAGGGGAAACGACTCAAGTTTACACAGTGAACTTGGCTGGCTTGGTCCCACCTGCAAGTCTTGCTTCTAACCTGCCACTTCCTTTGTAAGAGCCTGGGAGAGCCCCAGGGGCCGGGGGTGGGGGGATAAATATGTTAAGCACCATGTTCACTCATTTTGCATACATTATCTCATTTAACCCTCAAGTGAGCACATTTTCTTCATCTCATGCTGTAATAAAGTTCAGGCTTAGAGAGGTTAAAGAACCGGCCTGAGGGCATATAGTGGAATGAGATCCGACCTTAAAACCTGTGCTTTCAGCCACTTTGACATATTGAGACCCTTCTTAGGCTTATCTAAATTCTGTGACATGTGGGGAGAAACTCTGATTAGAAAAACTATTTCCAGACTGGGTAGCTTTCTACCACTTTCTTTCCCCCTACTCTTCCCAGATCTGTTTTTGAGGTCCTTTCCAGGTCACCTCTTTGACCTGCTTTTTGGGATTTTCTTTCTTTTTTTAAATTAACTATCCTAAAGCTTTACCCTCTCTGCCTGTCGTGTGACTAATATATTCCCTGGGCTTTTCGGGATAAAAGAGAAAGTAAAATGGCAGGGCTGGGGTTGGGACAGAGGGTTCTGGGCACTGGCACAGGAAGGTGGGTGTGGCCTGGCCTTGCCAGTGGGGTAGGTGGGTCTTTGCCCCCCTCTTACACAGATAATTTGAAGGCTTCCCATTCCTGGAGCCTGAGCAAGGCAGGTTTGGTTTTTGTTGTTTTTGTTTTTTTGGTATCGGGTATTGAACTCGGGTCCTTGTGCTTGCGCAGCAGGCAGCGAAACCACTGAGCTAAATCCCCGGCCCCAACAAGGCAGGTTTGGGAGATGAGGAAGTGGTAAAAAGTCTGAGAGGCTCCCAGGCTTTCTGTCGTCAAGGGGTGGTGTGGTTTGTTAGGAACCCGTACATGTCCAGGTCTTCTATGAGCTTTATGTCATTTATCTCCCTGGGTAATTCCTGCTACCAAGGCCTTCAGTCTGACAATATGGATCACAAATAAACATGACATTAGTTTCTCCCAAAAGGATAAATGATGGGATGGACTTAAAAATTGTACCTAGGAAGAACCATATGGATTTTCGCTATTTGGAGGCATATGGCACTTGGTAAGAGGAAAATGGGTAGGGGTGGGAGTGGAGCTCAGGCCATTTTCCCAGTATATTCAAGGGCCTGGGTTCAATTCTCCCCCACCCCCCACACAGATGAGCATATCTGACCATTCTTTTTCTTGAGCCTGGGTGGATGAAACCAGGTTTGGAGAATATGTGCCATTATCTAGTATGGACTTTGGCAAAGAACAAAACAAAACAAAAATGAAAGAGCAAACTCCCTTTATTGTACTGCTAGAACAAGACTAAAGCAGGGCAATGATTTGGAGCAGCCAGTGTTTGAGGATTTAATTCAATAATTTACGCAACCCCGCCCTGTACCACTCAGAACTGCCAGGAAATGTTTGGGTTTTCTCCAAACCCTAGATTTCAGACATTAAAGGCAAAAAAAGCATGGCCCGACTAGGGGAAGGGGACGAGGGCCAATTAATTCCTTCCTTGGAGACAGGGTGTCAACTTGGTAAAAGCTAAACCAACTGAAATTAATCAGGATGATGGGTCTTCGACCCCAAAAGCAGTCCCACTTTGCAGTAGAATTCAAAATCAAGGAGCTCATGGGGCCAGGGACCACAAATGCAGTAGAGGACTTCTCCAAGAAGGACTTCTTACCACACTGAACACCCAGAAAACCTAATTCCTTCTGCAATATCAAAATCCCCCCAAAGCTGGATGTCTCCTTTCCAAGTCCTAGTTTGTTAACTCAATATCCTCTGAGAGTAGTCCAGAGATCCCTGGAGTGGGGTGCAGTAAAGAAATTCCAGGTTAAAAGCTTTCCTCTCACAGAGATCCCCTTATGGTTGGATCCCAGAGGAAGGTGGGTTCAACTTGTCTTCCCCACTTTGGAAATGTGTCCTACTCATTCAATGAGCTAAGAATGGCCTCTGTACTTCTCAACAGGAAGTTTGCAAAATTGACCCAAAACAACTAGTTGAATCCTTTAAAAGCCTCATCCCAGAAGACAAAGCCAAGGAAATTTCATTCTCTTTTCCTTCATTCAATAGGATTGTTCAACTGATTAACAGTCATAAACCAAAGACCTTACCTTCTCTGGTCTTCAGTTTTCTACTGAGTAAGCAGCAGCAATATTGAAGAGCTACCCCAAGCAGCAGCCTCCAGGTCTGGCAGTCTCAGCCTAATGGCTGCACAGACTGGGTTATATTTGCTTGTATTTGCATCTTTACTGCATTTTCCTAGTCCTGGCCAATCACGGCCAACCTAGCCCTGGGCTTGACTTATTCAAACCAGAAGGAAAGCTTTGTCTGTTCTTATTCAAAACAGCAAAAACAAGGAGAGTGGAGTTTTAAGGGCTTCTTTTAACTCCAGCTCCACGCCTTGATCTATTGATTTTTTTTTTAAGTGCAGAGCCCATCAATAATGCAAAAAGAGACAGAGAGGATATGAAATTTGCCATATTGTATATATGAATGCATTATGCTGATGACAGGAGCAGAAGCTGGAGCTGCCTATGTGTGCCTGGAAGTCAGGGCTGGCAGAACCTCCCTGAGAAGCTTCTGGGCAATTCTTAAAGGTGGAAGTCTGAGAAAGGGGTCAGGAAAGTCCGTGGGCGTCTCCACCAGCCCAATGAACACCTGAAAGCCTACTATGTGCCAGGAACCACGCTGGGTTTTGAATTTCAGGGTTCTGGGTTTGTCAACATCAGAGAGGGGCACAGGAGAATCAAGACTCGTGTCCTTAGGGCTTCTGGTTCTTGCCCAGCAGTCAATAGGACACCAAGGTGCTTGTTAAGCACTTGGATAGCAATGGAGTTGGCTCCAAATAGGGGCCACGGAAAAGTAATGGAGTTCGACTTCTGTAACCTTGACTGGAAGCCCGGTGCTTGCTCCGTTTGGGTGCTTCAGCTTCACTGTGATCCAAGAGCCCACCATGGAAGATGGGTGTACCCACAAGCCCCAATAATGACAGGGTAGGAAGGCAGCTCCCATATTTGGATAGGTTTTACAAACCTGCTTTTATTAATTAATTGTAATACAAATATTCCAAAAATATAAACAGACACTTAATGGCGTCCTACATTTCAAGTTTTTGAATACAACAAATTTATCAAATCATGAAGCAAGGTAGTCAGAATCCCATAGCCCAGGCACAGTGGGAAGCAGACCTTCTCCCCTCCAAATGGCATCTTGAAAGGGGATCACAGCAAACTTGGGGTAATTACAAGCAAAGAAGCTCTGAGGTGAGTCTGCCTGGGGGCAGCTGGCCAGACCCCCACCTCCTCTCCAGTGCCTAAATACGCAGATATTTATTGGTGTTTAAAAAAGGAGAAAGACAAAACCAAGCCCCCTTATTTTAGAAAAAAGGTGGTTGAAGGACAATAATGGTTAAGCAACCAACTGAAGACCGGAAGGGGAAAGTGGGCTTACCTTTCTCAAATACATGGCCTGGCTGGGCTGTTCGATGCAGGCCAACTGTACACGGGGCTGCCCCACTAATGAGGACTCGAGAGGGGCAGCAGAACTGCATGGGGCCCACTTCCCAGGGAATGACTCCCTTGAGACTCCCATGCTTTTAGTACAAGGAAGCTTCTGGGCCACTGTTAACGGTTGAATTTATACATTTACACAAAAGTCTTTGGGAGGAAGGAGGGAGCTAAACAAAAGTTCCCAGGTTAACTGAAGGCAAACACTCTAGCAAGGGACCGATGGGCCTACAGAGTGTCCCCTCTACAATGTGCAGAGAGGAAACCCATATCTGACCCTTTACTGAACTGGTCCTGTGTCCAAAGCTCCCCCTATAAGAGGGACAAGAACATCAGGCTTTTGATTTAGAAGCCCAATCAGAGAGACACACTGTGTCCCTGAAGAGGCACCTTAAAGAACTGAACCTGGCAGGTGGGCAGATTCTGGCATGGCTTGAGTTGGTGCTGACACCAGGCACGGTAGCCTACTGATTCCCAAAGACCAGTCTCAAGTGGGACAGGCTGGTGGCAAGCCCCAGCACAGACTGCAGAAGTGGCTTCCTCTCAGTCTTGCCCTCCTCCAGAAGTTAAGTCTGCCTGATTCCTCAAGCTTCACAATCACCACTTGCCCCAATACACTGCGAAGCTAGAAAGCAGACAGCAAATGATGACTTTAGGCTGGTGCTGGTCCCCATGGACTGGGCTTGTTTAGATCTGGCCACACTGCTTCTCCAGGAGAGGAAAGAAGGGAGAGTGGAGGTGGCATTTCCAAGGAAAACCTGCAAGGGAGCAGGTGGGGTTCTGACAGGAGCAGGGACTGGAAAGCTGGGGCTTCATGCAGAAGCAGCAGGGACACTCCTACCAAGCCATTCTAGGCTTTGGTCACAGGTCACACTTGAAGCATGGGACAAGCCTGATAGGAATAGGGGTGGCACAGGCTCTCTGTGTGGGAATACATGGATATCCAAAAGAGGGCAGAGAAAGGGTTCTTGGAACTCAATCAGCTTCGAGACTCTTATTGCTTAGTCAGAAAAGCTTGGCCAGGCCAAGTGACAGAAGACTTGGCTGAGGGCTAACCCTCAGGGTAGGGGTTGGGAAAGAAGCTGCTCCTGCAATATTAGAATGGCAGTGGTGGCCAGGACCTGGGTCTGAAGTCACAGCTGGCCTTAGCTTCTAAGCATCCCCCTTCCTTCAGATGGCCTTCCTGGCTAGCACCTGGAGCCCTCTGCCCTTCACCTGTGGTGGGACCCCACAAGCACAGGGAATTATGCTGGAGGAATGACCACAGGAGGGCTGGGTGCTCTGTTTCACTTCTGTGAAAACAAAGAGGAAGACAAGGCATCCCACATTGGGACAAGGAGGGAAGGTGGTACCACAAAAGACCCAGCCAGCCAGCTATCACTCAGAATACTGAGCTGCTGCTCCACCACCTGGTATCTCCAAACTGGTTAGCAGTTCCTGAAGCTGGGTCTAGTGTGTAGAAACTGAAAAGGATAACAGGATGAGTCCTGAGTGGGCAGTATACCTGCACCGGAAGCGATTCACAAATGCTTTACGGTATCTGCCTCCAGGCAACAGAGATGGGGACAGGACCTGCCTCCTATCCCAGGAGGGAGGAGAGCCCCATCCAGCAGCCCCAGGGGAGGCCTTAAGGCAGTGATGCTGAGGTTGGGCACCTTCTGGAGGGCCCCTTGTGCTCCCAATTACAGCAGCACTTCCTCCTCTGTTTTCCAGCCCAGGGGAAACTTCCATTTTAGGACTATTTTTTAAAGCATTCACTATTAACAATTTTTTTTTTTTTTTCGTTACCAGGGATCAAACTCGGGTCCTTGCACTTGCGCAGCAGGGGGCAAAACCACTGAGCTAAATCCCCGGCCCACTATTAACAATCTTTGAAAGCAAAAGACACCCAAGAGTGCAGGTGTGTGAGGGGTTCACTCAGCCGTTACTGGGGGCAGAAGGCTGGCAAACAAAATGTTAAGAACATCCGTCCCCCTCAGTTCTGGAAAAGCAGTTTTGAGCCTCTGAGAGGAAGAGTGACAGCCAGGAGGGATGAACACAGGAACAGACAGACTTCAGTACTGGACAGATTTCAGCACTGGACAGAAGCCGCCCAGGGAAGACACAATAGCAAAGCACCCTGCCCAAGCAATGGGAGGGGCTGGGGCAGCTTGGAAAGCCTTTCTCAGCCTTTGGAACCAAAGTCCCTTCGCCAGCACCAGCAGAGAATCCCTGAAGAGCAGACTTACAGAAAGAAGCCCAGCTCATCTAACAAGCCAAGAGGACACATACTCTGCTTTGGGGATTTACCTCTTCCCTATACCCCAAACACCTCCCACATTCATCTCAGGCCCAGGATCACAGCTTTGCCAGAAACAAGCCAGGCCCAATGCTCCAAGTTTAGAATTTTAAGAGTCAAAAGAAGAGAAATCAGTTATCTGTCTTCCAGGGCAGGCAGAAGACCTTCCCCACGGGATCAGAGTATGGCTAGGTGGTGAGGAAGGCAGACCCAGTGCCCAAACCTTGGGGAGACATAGACAGGGGCCCATGGCAGGCACCCGGCAGGAGGCAAGTGCAACCCTTGGGCCACAGGACCTGACAGTCACGGGGTTACTGGTTCTGGAAACAAGTCTTCATCTTCCCAGAAATGGCATCTTTTTGTTTGCAGCAACTGGGCTGAGAGTTTTCAGAAAGGTGTGTGCCTAGGGCATCCAAAGGCAGCCTCTGACCCCTCCTTTCTCCTTTGCACAGGCCTTCCAACCCCGAGGAAAGGCCATGGTTTGGCAACAGAGCCTGCGACAACAGTCTTTATCCCAGTAAAGCTCAGTGGCTCATAGGGTGGCAGGAGAGATGAACCAACTTGGGAAAAAAAGTCTTGATCTTTCAGCTTCTTCCCCATTGAAACACTGAATTCCCTGGGTCTGTAGTACTTCCTAAGACTCTTGCGCTCTCTCTCTCACACACATCTATCTCGGGAACCTAACTTGGAACCGGTATCTCTGGATATTGTTGGTCTGATCTACCCAGCTGGTATCTAATCTGCCCTAAAGCTCTTTCCAATCACATCTATTTCTGGGCCCCATCTGCTGAGGTGCTCCAGCTTCGCTCAGTCTGTCAGGCTGATCAAAAAGGCACAGTGTAGCAAAGTCCCCTGCTGGGATAGCCACTGCTTGGAAGCACGAAGGCTAAGGGGCCCGCAGCTGCCCAAGGCTGGTGTAGACGTCGTCTGCTCCACTTAATTCCTCAAAGATTGGGATCAGGTTGAGCAACTCAGTATCTGCCATGTCATCAAACCAGGACTGCACAGGCACCTGAAGCAGGAAAAGGGTGGTGTCAATTTGACTGCCACTTCTTCCTGCCCTCCCTTGGGATGCTGCTGGGTCAGCCGGGGTTGTGAGGCACTCCTCTGGTGAAGCCCGTTTCCCAAGCCCACTCCCTCTCCCAGTCCCTGCCATGTGGGTGTGTCAGGACCACTCACTGCATTCTCTGGGTGGAAGATGTAAGAAGCAGGCGAGTTGTCCAGGATGAGGGTCTTCCTCAGGTCCCTCCCCAGGCGGCTGAGGTCCTTGACATAGCAGCCCTGGTGGAACACACAGGACTCCCGGAACAGGCGGGCCCGGAACACCCCACACCGGTCCAGCAGGTCTGTCACAGGGTCAGCATACTGGCAGGAGAAAAGATGTCCGGGTCTGGATACAGTCCTGGTCTCTCTGTGGCATCCTGAGGACCAGCAAGTAGCCACTGGGCCACCCCTGTGGCCGCTACACCTCTAGTGCTTCCCCCCCCCCGCCCGCCAACTCCTAGGTACCTTGGCCAGGCTGGCAGTGAAGAGAACACATTCAAAGAGCTCCCCCATTCGTCTCAGGAACTCATCCACATAAGGCCTCTTGAGCACGTACACCTGAGGAGAAGCACAGCAGGCCATTGGGGACCCTGTGCTGAAGCAGCTCAGCATCCATCCCCTTCACTGCTGACAGAGAGCATGGCAACAGGGCCAGGTTCCCACACCTAGCCATCTGGGCCAGCTGCCTGGAACTACCCCAGCTAAGGCTGGCCTCAACCTTCACCAGGCTTCTGCTGGCTCAGTGGTCCAACCTTAGCTCAGGAAGAAGGACAACACACCATGTCCCAGGAGCCATCTCTGATTCCGACGGTGGGCCATCAGCTGCCTCCAGAAACAAGTAATCAAGAATAGGCCTCACAGATGGAAACAGCCTATCCTGGATTACTTGAATCCAGCCACAGCCTCTGTAGGAGCATTGTGTCCTTGGCTCCAGCAGGACAGTTTGTCCAGGTCCCTATTAGGCAAGGACACAGATATTTCCTGACACCTGATGCCCACACATGGCTTCTCCACTGTACCAGGGAGAAGTGACTTTTCCCTCTGATGACCAGAGACTAGATTCCCTGCCCCTTCTTGCTCTAGAGACTCCTTTTGTGCGTGTTCCTGCCAGATCCATCCACCTAACTCACAGCCATCTTTCATGACAAGATCTCAAAGTTTCTCTAGCTACATGTCCCCCACCAGTCTGTGTTCTACCGCTTCTTGCCTTCTAGGCTTCTAGGCCCCTTTATTTCCTGAAAGATCTTTTTATACGTGCTACCCTCAGCTCAAAGAGTGCACACCTGCCATAACTCCCTCCTACAGCTGGCCCAAATCTGCCACCAACTCAGCAGACCCCTTTTAGCTTCTCGGCAGAAATGTTATAGGTAGCCACAACTTTGCTCCTGTAGCTGCCACTTCTTCAACTTTCACAACCCCCTTCTTCCTCCTGGCTATTGTCAAGCTTAACCTCCCTCACATTCTTTGCTTAAAATCCACCTTGGGTAGGATTTCATTTTAATTTCACCCCTTTATTCTTATTCATGGCTTCCCTGCTAACTAGGAGTTCACGATATGTATTTGCCTGTTTCAAAGTATGTCTTTATCTTTTCCCCATGGGTGTTGTATACCTCTAAACCCTCAGCTGGACTGTGAAAGGGTGCTGGCCCTGGCAGAGCACTCAGTTATGGTGGTGAGAGGAAAGAAATGCCTAGTATGGGTGGGACTGTGATGCCAACCCATCAAAGCCTCAAACCCCGTTTCCCCATGAATAACCAGCCACGCAAACAAGTGTCAAGGCCACCAGGGTACCTGCTCCAGGGGTCCCCTCAGGCTGACTGGTAAGCACTCTGAGTGGACAGTCTTTCCCCTGCCAACGTCATGTAATCCTTAACCCCGGACTGGGCAGATTATCAGGGCTGGAGGCTGTTCTGGTTTAGATTCATTTTCTCTGACAGAAGCCTCCATGAGGAGCCAAGGAGAGGGAAGTCGGAGGTTTCACAGAGGAGGAGCTGCTGGGCAGGGGAAGGAGAAGTTCAGTAGCTCTTCAGAGGCTGGGGTGTGGGGAGGAGCGCCTGCCAGGCAGAGAAACACCACTACCAGATTCCCTGCCTCTAACAGGCACAAGCACCATCTATTTTTTTATTAATAAATTTTATTTTATCCCACCCCCCCCAGCCCCCTTCCCTCCCTATGTACAAAAGCTTTGTTTCCATTTTTTCCTTCAGAAACACCATCTATTTAGGTACACAAAAAATGCAGTAAATCCTGATAGGTGCTGGCTACACAGAGGGACAGCGAGCAATAAATGACAGCTGTTACTATATTAAAAAATGTAAATTGCCCCTTCAAACAGCCTGGCATCATCATCCTCATCATCATGTGTTTTTGAGATAGTCTTGTTATGTAGTTCCAGCTGGCCTTGAACTCACTATGGAGCCCAGGCTGGCCTTGAACTGCAGGGCAATCCTCCTGCCTCAGGCAAACAGCCTACCTTTAAAGAAAAAAGATGAGCTAGAGGGGGTAGTGGGGCTGAAAGGTTTTTTTTTTCCTTTTCTTTCTTTTCTTATTTTTAAAGATTTTTTCCTTGAGTGTCAAAGATAGCAATAAAATAGGAGAGGCTGAAGTTACAGAAAGGGAATCAGCTGATGGAACACAAGCCCCAAGAGGACAAAGGACCCCAGCACAGGTGGAGCAGAGGGCAGATCCCCACCCCTGGGCTGGGTGTGGCCTGGCAGGAAGCTCACCTGGTGAGTGGTCCCCTCAATCTCTACAGGCACTATGAAGTCAGCATTGTTGATTGGCTGGAAGGCAGAAGAGTTAATGACATCAGTGAGATGGGAGCGACAAGGAGCCCCCACCATGCCCCTGGGAGGGGTGGGTGGAACAGACACTGAAGGCTCCAGGAAGCTCCTCCTGCCAGCCCACTAAGGGGTTCTCAGCCCAGTATGGGGTGCAGTAATCTCTTTTGGATTCCCTGTTCCTCCTCAGCACCTTCATGCCATCCTGCCAATTTCACTCATTGATGAGTTTTGGGTCTTCCCTGAGTTAACAAACACCCCCATTTAAAAAACAAAATAAAATAAAAGAACAATAAAAAAATAGGCAAGGCCAAAGCTGATTCAACCACTTTTAAGCCTGACTCAAGTGAAGCCCTTGTGGTGCTGTGTGTGTGTGCGCAGCCTGTTGGCAATGACGGGGAGGACAGCAGAGCAGGGGATTCCTACCTAACATTCTTCAGTATGGCCTCTCGATATCAGTGACACCAGGGTGGCCTGGCTGTTCCCTTCCAGTCACCTTTAGGTCACCTTACAGCACCTGTCAGGTTCACAGGCAGGCCGAGGGTGGGTGTAGGACGGGTTCCAGATATCAACTTACCTTAAAGGAACTGTGTACAAGGGTTTCATCCAGGTCAATGACTACACAGATCCTTCCTTGATCTTCCTCTGTCACCTCTGGGAGTAGGCAGGTCCCAGGGATCTAAAACCAGAGCCAGATGGCTAAGATGAATCCACATAGAAAGCCCTGTCATTCTCCCTTGCAGAACCCTGGGAAGAGCCAGGCTGCTCATGGAGATGGAATCACCAGGACAGGCAATACTTAAAGGCAGAGGACAGAGGAGGCAGAGTGGCTCCTTGGTTTCAGCCTCCCAGTGAGGCTGGGAAGTAGATTTGGACAGTGGAGGCTGCAGTCAAGGCTGCTGTGGGATGCACAGCACTACAGGAAGAGGGCATGGAACACTAGCCATCCCCTAAAACACCAGGCCCTCAGTGTATACTTAGAACAAAGGCTTCCTAGGGCACAGAGGAGGCTGGCCAGGCACCAAGGAGGAGGAGATCACCATGCCTGCTGGGCTGCCAGCGATCGCAGGGTCACCAGATTCACATACCTGATAAAACTGGTACTGGAGACACTGGAGCAGATCCGACTAGGGAAGAAAAGGCGGTTGTCAGTGCCAACTCACCAACAGCTCCTGCCCCATCCAAACCACTGCTTCTGCCTCAAGAGCCAGCCGCCTGGAAGCTCCTCACAGGACAAAAGTGGCTTTTTAAGGAGCTGGGCAGGAAAGGGCAAAGATTAGTGCTTCCTTTCCACATTAGACCTGATGAAGTACGGAGACGATGGTGTCCCTGTTCCCAGCTGCCACTGCCTCTCAGTTAGACAATGTAAAGAAGAAAGAACTCAAGTGGCCAATTCAGGGACATACAGAGGCAGGACTAAGATCTGAACTCCTAATGGGGATTTAGTTCAGTGGTTCCACCACCTGCCTTGCAAGCAGAAGGTCCCGAGTTCGATCCTTGGTACCAAAAAAAAAAAAAAAATCTAAATTCCTCACTGTGGTGGTTTAACCTCTTGCTTAGTCTTTAAACCCAACTTCTCTTTGAGAATTTCCCCAAGAGAATGTGGAAGGAAGACTAAGCCCCAGAAAACATCAAGTAAGCCAATGTGAAGCCACTGTGGGTACCAAAAATGTGCAGTGCAGCCAGATGTGGTACATACACCTATAATTCCAGCACTTGGGATGCTGAGGCAGGAGGATCACTGTGAGTTCAAGGCCATCCTGTATTACATAGTGAGAGCCTGTCTGAAAAAAACAACCCTCCTGGGGGCAGGGATTTAGCTCAGTGGTGCCATTGCCTGGCTCAAAAGCGCAAGTCCCAAATTTGATCCCCAGTACCAAAAAAACCCCAAAACCCCAAAACATGAAGGGCAAAAAGATCAAAATGACACCCCTCCAATAATTAAAATGTTATGGTTATATGGGCTGGGGATTTAGCTCAGTGGTGCCACACCTGACTCGCAAGCACAAGGTCCCAAGTTTGATCCCCAGTACCAAAAAAAAAAAAGGTATGGTTATAAAAAGTAGTAAATGGTCCTAATAAAAACCTCAAATTCTAAAATTCTGGGGCTGGGGATGTATCTCAGTTGTAGTGTACTGGTCTCAGTAGAACGTGAAGCCCTGGGCTTGATGCCCAGCAATGCAAAATAAAACATCAAATAAGCAGGGTATGGTGGCACATGCCTATGATCCCAGCACTCTGGGAGAACTGCAAGCTTGAGCCCAATCTGGGCAATTTAGTGACTTAGCAAGATCCTATCTCAAAAGAAAAAACAGAAAAAGGCTGGGAGTATAGCTGAGTGCCAAGGCCCCTGGAGTCGATCTCTAGCACCAGTAAATAAGTAAAATCCTAAACAAAAAACCTCAGTGTTAGCATGTTAGTGTGTATTTCCTAAGTGGGTATTAGGAATCTTGTTCTGTAAGATTAATACTATGTAATTTCATGTTTGGCTTTTTGGTTAAATGTCGTAGATCAGTACTCTCCATTTTACTGAGAACTCTTCATAAAAATTAATTGCTTAGTAATCCTGTCACGTTGTACTTTAACCATTTCTCCCCCACTGGGTAAACTAAGTGATTTTTCTACCAGTGTATATACCTTAGTCTGGTTTAGGAAAGACAGCTAGACCTTGGTGTTTCAGAAAGAGGTACCACTGGCATTTGGAGCAGAATATTTGCTGGTCAAGCTGGTCCCACCCTCAAAATATGAGAAATACCATGGTCCCCTGACAATCAAAACTATCTGCACATTTCCAGATGCTGTACACAGGCACAGGTAGGAAGGGCTGGAAAGGATCAAGAGCACGGCAGAGGCCAAGAGCAGGGGCGCATGCTCATAAACCCAGCTCCCTGGGAAGCAGAGCTAGGAAGATTTTAAGTTTGAGGCCTGGCTGCGAAACTTAGCAAGACTGTCTCAAAATACAAAGGTCTGGAAATGTAGCTGAGTGGTAGAGAGCTTGCCCAGGATGCGTAAGGATGTGGGTTCACACCCTTGTACTGGGGGGAAAACAAGCATGGCAGATTGTAACACCATGGCTCCCTGCAAGTCAGGTAAAGTTTACAAGGTAGTTTTGCATAGCAGAAAACAAATACAGGCTTTAGCATCAGATTTGTGTTTGAATCCTGACACTACTATTGGTTAACCATAAACTCTTCAGGACAGCACATCCTCTGGGACCCAGTTTCCATATCAGCAAAGTGGAATCCTGTAAATATTCTAGCAGGGTTGCTGTGAGGATCACAGCCAAGAATATATGGGAAACACTTTGCAGGATCTCTCAGAAACCACAAAGACATTTAGTCCAATAACAATGGGACTACTAGAAATGGACTACTAAGGGAAGGAGAGAGGAAAGACCTCTAAGCCAGAGACCTCTGTGACCTCAGGCAAGGCCACTATGCCCACCTGCTGTGGTCTGCAGGGGTCTCCTAACCAGCAGCCTCTTCCTTACCAGCACTATACCACCCTATCCAGCTACTACCTTGGCAATGATGTTGGCTTCTTCCTTGTATGCAGCAAGCTCAGTGCAGGAACCGGACTGGCCAACATGCTGGGCACGAAAACAGCAAAAGAGAGCCTTGAAGATGTTACGTCCACGCGGCTTCTTAGGAGAGGACTTGGAGACCAGGCCTAGTGAGAAGAGAAATGACAGGCATTAGCTATAGGGACATTAGTATCTGTCCATAGCTACTCCATGCGTTTCCTCTCTCCAGTCTGTAAACTCTGCTGGGCACATGGCGTATGCCTGGCACACAGCCACATGCACTTAACAGTAAAAGGTGCATTTTATCCCAGCATCTTCCCTTTAAAGCAGAAATGGCAGGAAACCCCATTCACTGGTTTGGGAAATGGGAGACTTGAATTGCAGATTTGCTTTTCATTCCAGGGGGCCAGGGAGGGGAAAGGACACAAAGATGGACCAGGTACAGAATCTGAGTGCTCTGCTACTCCAGTCACAGCACACTGAAGATGTCCTCAAAATTAATTCACAAAGACATATATCCTCCCTAACACCAATCACTGGAAGGTCAACCTTCTAAACAACAAAGTAACCTTGGCCGCTTCAAGTTATTAAAGCTGCAGTTTGTTTCTTGCTTTTTTTTTTCTGGTACCGGGAATCCAACTTGGGACCTTGCGCTTGTGAGGCAGGCGCTGGAACCACTGAGCTAAAACCCTTGCCCTCTTGCTTTTTTTTTTTTTGAGACTGGGTCTTGCTGTGTAGTTCAGGGTGGCCTTGAACTCACTATGTAGCCCAGGCTCGCCTTGTACTCCTGGTGATCCTCCTGCCTCAGCCTCCCAAATGCTGGGTGTGTGCGCCATCACACCTGGCTGAAGTTTGTTTCAGCATCAGCTTCCCTGGGTGCTTGGCAGGTGGCAGTAGAACCAAGCCCAATCAGCCTAAAGACTCCAGACTTGAAGTTCCTGGATGGCCACAGGAAGATACACTCCATTTTTTAAAAAAATTGATTTTATTGGTAATTTTATTGGTACATTTTAGGTATACAGTTCATTTACATTTCTCATTGGGTGTTTGTACCTGTACATGATATATCTTGGTTCTTATTTTTTCCCCATTACCTGTGCACCCTTCACCCCCTCCACCCTTCCCTATTTACATAGATTTCGTTTCCACTTTTTTTCTCTTTTCTCATAGTTTTTCCTTTCCCCTTCCCTCCCTTCCCTCCTTCGTCTTTGGACCTTTTTTCCTATTTCAAATTATCAGATACACTCCATTTATACCCTGCCTCTGTGCCATGTTCCAGCTGCACTCTTTACCACACCCTTCCCTTGGAGACATGGAGCCTGACTGGGAAAAGACAGGTAGATCAAGCCTATGAGACAAAATACCCAGCCCCAGGTCCTGAGCTGAGGCCTCTGCTTCCATACAGTAGCTGCTTAGTCCTACCTTGACAATTTGGGCTTTGAAAACATAAAGCCATTGTTTTAGACAGGGTCTGGCTATGTAGTTCAGACTGGCCTTGAACTCAGTGATCCTCCCATCCAGCCTCTCAAGTGCTGGGATTGGAGGTGTGCACCACCACACCTGGTCATAAAGCCATTTTAATAGGCAACTTTGTAAAGCAGCCTCAGACAGGCCAAGCAGAGACATAAAGGTATGGGGATTTTAGGACTGACTGGAAACGGACTTCAGAATGTTTTGCAAGTAAATTCCTTTTGCTTAAGATGAACTGTCCTGGCAACGGTTGAACAAGACTGGGAAGATACAGTGGGCATTGTGGCCAGAAGGTGGCGCTACAAAACCACTCTCAGTGGTTCCCAGCCACAGGTTGGGGGTGGGTCTTGTGTATACCAAAGCCTGAGTGGGACACCCGGGCTGGCCTGGGCCTAAGGATTAAATACAAGTGGTTTCAGTTTAAAGCACAGGCAAACTACACAGGAAAATAACAATGGAACGCCGGCATGGTGGCTCGTACCTGTGATCCCAGCACCAGAGGCTGAGGCAGGAAGAGCACCCCAACTTTGAGGCCAGCCTGGGCTAAGTAGTGAGTTCAAGGCCGGCCTGAACTACACACTGAGACCTTGACTCAAAAAAAAAAAAAAAAAAAAAAGTGAACATTGAAAATACCTCTGTTTTTGTAGGGGAAAGAAAATCAAACAATGTGCCGCTGACGGTTCTCTTGTGTTCTTCCTTGGGACAAGGAGAAAGGGAAAGGAAAAGGTAGTGTGGCTGTGGACACCCACAGGTGACAGGAGTACTATCAGCTCAGTCCTGTTCTCAGCCTGCACTAAGGCAGCTCTTACTCAAGTGGGTGACAGGAGAGCTGCTGAATGCACAGTTACTGGGCTGCCTGTGACCCTGGAGAGGACAGAAGAGCCAAACTGTTCCCAGGACCACGAGTGAGGAAATGGCCCTCACTCACCAGTCGGTCAAGCGAAGTCCAAACCACCCACCCAAGAGGACAAGGGACTCACCCCTGACTGAAGAGAAAGGCTGAAGGTGGCCAGCAGTCAGCTCACTCCCTTCCCTGCATGGGCTGGGACAGATCCCTGGACACTGGGATACCCCCTGGGAAGCCTTTCTAGCAAGGAGCCCCCAAATCGGACTGTCACTCTCAAGCTCCTGGCCCTGGAGGAAGAACACAAACCCAGGTCTCTCTGGGGATTGTGTCATGAAGAAGCTGCGCTGGGGACATCCCCCGAGCTCCCATATCACAAAGACCAAAGTCACAGCAGAACCTGGCACTCGAAGCCAGCAGGATGAGAGGTTCCTTGGCCTGCCCCCTTCCATGCCTATTATTCTAATAATCTGCCCAGAAATCAGAAGGAAAGAACAGCTTCCCCACCTGCCTGTTGGCCCACATTAAATTCCAAGCCTGGGGACTGGGGGCAGAGGCTGACACAAAACTCCAAGACCAAAGCTGAACCACTGCTTTTCCTTTGGTCTATGGTTTTTTCATGCAGAACCACAATCGGAGGCTTAACTCGGGCATGGAGCCTTTCTTAAAAGGCCACACAGCCCCAGCCTTTCTTGAAGAGAGGGCATCAGGAATGCACCCAGCATCTTAGTGACAGACACTGAGAAGGCTGAGTAATCCTGAGAGGCAGCAGGGTGGAAGGGGCAGCTGGCTGGGGCCATGGAGAGGCCTTGCCTTTGGCCACCATGGGGGGCCCAACAGGCACAAGTGCCTGGCTCTAGATGGGGAGCTTGGGCTCTGCAGGGGATGAAGGTCTTCTCAAAAGCACAATGGGACTGGCAGCCCCTGTGCCTCAAAGGTCACAAATGTGCTGACCTTGGAGCGGGAGCTGGGAGCAGAATATCCTGGGCCCACAACAGCAAGGTCAATACCTGTCATTCCTCGCCTCCCCCAACCCCTGCTATGTGCATCCATCTCCAGGCTGTCTGTAGAAACTCATGGGGCCCGCTCCAGCCTCCCCCAACATGGCTGCCTCCCTGAAGGACCTGCAATGGCCTCAGCCTGGTACATTTGTCTACCTCTAGCCTCTGTATAGCTGGTGCTCAATAACTTTGGCTGAAATGACTTCAAAGGCCTCTAGGGCCTCTGTTGCTTCAATAGAGCTAGGACCCAGAGAAGTAGCCCCAAGTTTGCAACAGTTCAGAAGCACTGGAAACAGGAAAGCCTTCTTTAAGTGAGGAAAGGAAGGTGGCACTTCAGGAGCTGAGTGCCTGAAGCAAGACACTGAGTCTTTCTGGGCCTCTGCCATGTTCACTGGGGACCAAGATGTACCATGCCTGTGTTAGGCACTTGCATCAGTAGTCAATCCTCACAACAAACCCAACTGCAGGCACCAATTCCTCAATTTACAGGAAGAAAACTATAGAGGTCACACTGGGAGTATGATAGCAGAACCACGATTTGAACTAGGTCTGCTTGAACCTAGAGCCAAGGCTCTTTAACTGATATCCCATAGGACCGTTGACAGTTCAGGGACACCATGTGCATTTACTCATGCAACTACTGGGAGGCCTGGGAGCACTGTCAAGGTCTCTTCATGGGAACACTTGCTCTATTGCTCTAGGGTGGACTGTTGGAGAGATCAGTTTGGGATCCAGCTCCCCTTTCAATTCTCTTGGGCAGGCCATCAAAAGTACAAGGCTCTGGGATTCCCTGAAACTCCAGTGAACCCATTCCCGACCCTGCTCTGACCAGCAGGTACAGACATCCCCAAAACCTCTGTGTGTGACAGGCAGGGAATGCCGCCTGCCTCCCCAGGAGAGGAACACTGGACACAAGAGGATCTACAGGCCCGAAGAGCTTTCAATGCACAAGGTTTTACCAGCAAGGGATGACAGGCTTCCAGCGTGCAGCTCCATGACCAGCTGCTCTCCCTCCTTCCTCTACCTGGAAACCCAGTCCTCCTCTCCTGCCCAGATGTTGATATGTGTCTGCTCCCCTTGCTCCAAACATCTGTCCAAGAGTTCCTGCATAGACCCAGCTCTGGCATAAGAAGCAAGCAGGCAGCTGGCTGAGATAGGGAGGCCAGGCCACACCTCCAACACCCCACTGCAAGTCTTCCCACTGAGGCAGGGTGTGGAGAGAAGCGGGCTGTGAGAGGTGCCCCTCTCACCTGAGAATCGCCAGGGCTGGAGTCCAGGCTCTGCCAGTTCCTGACTCAACCACACAGCCTCTTGGAGTCCTGCTTTCCTCATCCACAAAATGGGACAGAGGATAAACAAAAAGATAAAACAAAACTTACTGTAAGCTACTGTGCAAACTCTGAAACTCAATGCTATGCTTCTTTTAATTATCTATTTGGGACATCCTGGGCCTCATCATGGATCACTAACTGACAACATCGAGGGTCTCATTCCAGGAGATCAGAAACAAGGGATTAGGACTTGTGCACATCCATTATATGTGGTCGAATCCCAAGAATAGAAAGTGAGGGAACTCTCATTATGGCAGGTTTCAAAGTCAAAACTGCCCCTATACCTTCTCTCTACATCTACCATAAAAGCTGTGGTTCACAACCTTTCTGGCTGGTTTCTGTGAACAAAGGGAAAGCAGGTGAGGCTGTCCCACTTGATGTGAACCTCACCCCCAGCACCCAACACCACCATTCTATCTCCTCCTGCAAAAAGTGTGCACACAGCCTGGCATGGTGGTACATGCCTACAATACCAGCACTTCTGGGAGGATTGAAAATTT